AATTTGTGCACATCATTTTTGTGTAAAAATAGTTTTTTTCAGCTCTTGTTGAAACGTTTTGCCGAAACATGCGCTGAAGCCCTAAAAATAAAAAGCGCTTTTAGACATTTTTTAGAGTTGATCGGCCAAATCTGGATGTAATAAAATTTAGTTTGTTTCGTAAGTTTGACAAACTGAATTAAAAGGCACAATACCGCACTGATCTTATGAGCCAATTTTGACAAATATGAAAAAAAAGATCTTAAACCTCATAGAGTTCAGTCAGACAATCGGGTGTAATTTTATTTGAATATGGAAGGTTCAAATCGTTAAATTATGGGTCTTATTAACTGAATACATTCAGCGGACGTAATAAAAATATTTGACTACTTGACGTGAATTGTTTTGCAATTTATTCGGACCTTAAAATCAACCCAAATCTTTGATTATGCGGGGCCATAAATATGAAGAAAACATATATTGGCTTATGAGATTGAATAAGGCTTTGAAAAACACGATAATTATCACAAGTACCCTCCAGCATTTGATTGGTTTTGCCAGTTTAATTAACCAAACGAGGCCTCAAAAGAAGCTCAGCCAGGTTATTTTCCGCTGCCTCTTGCTACTTTGTTTGAAGTGCCGATCCGACCAAATTGAATCAAAAAATCAATGTAAGTTTGACTAGCGACATTCAGAAAGCTTAAATTGTGAAAAATTGTTGCACATAAATGTCATTTCATTTTACGACGTTATTAGCAAAGGTATAGTTTCAGAGTCAGGCAAACTATTCGCGAGGAATCTCTGATAAAAAATACATGTAACAAACAATATACCAAGTTATTGAATTGGTAAAATAGCAAATTGGATTCCGAAAAAAAATTAAATCAAGCTTCAAAGATATTCGAGATATTCGAGAACTTCAATTCAGTGTCGAGATATTTTCGGACCATGAAAAATTTTTGAAACCAAAAACGAGTAAACCATTTTAATGGAATTTTTTTGATAATAAATGTAAGTGATTTTTTGCGCATGATCAGCATAAAGCGAAAGGTTCGGGCGCTCAAAACATTGTTATAGGAGATGGTTTTTGCCTCCATACACCAAAATTGCTTGTCATGCCATTACAAGTATGTGTATAAGCTTATTAGAAAATGCTTGTTATACAATTCACATATTGGGATAAATCTGTTCATAGAGCTGTCATGCAACTTTCAAGATTCCAGGAACGTAGTGCAGACTCTTATTAAGGACGTGCGTGATGATCTTTTTGTTCTGACTTTCAATACGAAAGTAACGGAATATTTGTGCTCGGGGTGTTTTTTTTTCAGACAAATTTCGACTTTTTAGCTGGCCAAATTTGACGGAATTTTTTATATCATTCGAAAGATATTGTTGTCCTGAGCTCAAATTTGAAAAGATTTTTCACCTGTGATCTTTTTTCGTAAAGTTATGGGGGTTTAAAAATTGCCATTTTGGCCAATTTGGGACAATTAACGCGCAATATATTTCGCGCTATTAACGCGTAAGCGGAGAGTTAATCCGTCTTAAAAATCGTTCCAAATTGGTTGAAAGAAGCTTAGTTGCCTTAATTGATTTGTTACAAGAAGCCAAATCTATCCTTTTGTACTTAATATGGCGTGTGGGGGATGATCTTAATAAAAATTTTCGAAATTAAGAAAAAAAATTTCAAATTCATTTTGATACATTTAATTTTTTGATGTTATTACTGCTCCATAAAACCTTAAAAGGCAGTCGGAACATTCGGGGCTTCGCCCTGATACGAGCAGTCTTGTTTATTTTTGTTGTTGATATTTCAAATTGGTAATGTTTAGGGAAAACGTGATATTTTTCTAGTTTCGGAATTGGATTTTGCTATTTGATTTCCCAGCGGAACAAAAATTTCATCTATTGATCAAGTTTTCATCAAAATTTGAGTTAATTTCATCGAAATTGTCAATCGTAAGTTGGTCTTGAAATTCAATTAACTTTAAAACTATATAATTGTTTCTTCAAAATTCGAAAGTTGAGGTTTTTTTTGAAAAACCATTTAGTATTTTTTTTTGCATTCTTTGACTCTTTCGAATTGTCTGTTGGCTTTATTTTAAGTTTATGAAATTTATGGTTCTATATGGGAAGACTTCTGAGCTGGATTAGAAAAAGTTAATAGTATTCGTTATTAGAAAATGAAAATGTAGTGCAATATCTAGATATCTCAAATTAATGTAATGCATGTTTAAGCCCCTGTTAATGTTCAGACTTTCGAAGAAAACGGAATATTTACGCTTGAGATGTTTTTTTTAGTGAATTTTTGGCGATCAAATAAATTATTACCTGATTGAAAATACTGACTCCTGAAATCAAATTTAAAAAAAACTGGCTATTTGGCCATGCCCTGGACTAATTTATGCGCACTTTGAAGATTTTATCCATTATCATTAAAACGCAGCGCTAATTATTTATATAGGGCGAATTATCCCGCGCAAACAACTTTGTTCCAAATTGAATTGAGGCTAGATAGTGGGTCGTATTAATTTCGTACGACTCAAAGTTTAACATAAACTCTTAGACATTGTCCCAAACTTATAGTTTTTCAATATTTTTTTCTCAAAAAAAGCTTAAAATATAGATTAGGGGCAGTCTGAACATTCAAGGCTTTGCCCTGATATACGGCCAGTCTTGTTTTAAGTAAAATGATCGTACCTAAGGTTTCTCTATGATTTGAAGCCCAAATGGTTGATATGAACATGTTATTTGAACATGAAAAATTGTATCGTCAACCGTACAACCCCCCCCCATAAATCAATTTAATGAAAAACCTTAATTTAGGACAAAACAATTTGAAATAACATGTAAAAAAAATCTGAACAAAAAAATTTTGAATTATGTTTCAAATAGTTATTAATATGGAGTTAATAAAATTTACACTTTATACGAAATAAGCTTTAAAAATTAAAATGGTGGTTGGGTGGGAATTCCACCGTAAGCCATTGACGAGGGAAATTGTACGGGTGTTTCTAAAGATTTATTCAAAAACAACGTCAATATTTTGAACTGTTTTGAATGTCAGAATAAAAACAAAATAATGTCGCAGAACAAATCAGTAGAGTTTCAATTATAAAGAGTATATTTTTAAATTCAGAAGTGTACCATAGATCAAATATTGAAAACTTTGAGACATCCAAGTTCATAGATTCAAAACTATGTAGCTTTTGTTATTTACCGAGTTTCAGTCCAATTTGAAGGATTTCAATTTCGTCAAAAAGTTATTAGTTCCGATTTTTCACAAAAAAAATTTATTTTATTTAAAAAATTTATTTATTAAAAAATTATTTTATATTTTTCTGCTCTGTATGGTTTATAGACCCATTTTGCAACCATAGTTTGACTATGTGTTTTTAAATAACTTCCCAAGGAAGTTAAAAAACAGTTTCGCGTTTCGTTCAATACTTTTCATCTTCATTTTGTAACTATCTCAACAATATTGCAGCTCTGAGATAAAATTTGCAAAAATTTTGCTACAATAACCTCACCTTCAGTTTCCAAAACATTGAGAAGTAATTATATCAACTAGACTAACTTTGTCGGGTCTTTCTCCTTTCCCCTCACCTCACAATGTTGACGTTGACTAGCCAAATCATTGTTCACATTGTCTGATTGTTATGAAAATTGACAGGCGGAATGATTCAGCCATGGCAATTATTTTTGGTATTCTTACCTAACTTTTTGAAAAGACTTGGTAGACCATAAAAATGATGCTCATGCAAAGTGTATTTGAAAGAAAAAAAAACATTTTAATCCACTCATTTCACTGATTCATAATTTTTGAAACCATTTTCTCAATAGGGAGCAAAAACTTGCTGTTATCTGGCGATACATTTGATTATGTTGAAGAATTGTTTTTTGTTTACGCATGTAGCTTTGTAGCTCATTCGGATTTGCAGCTCTTTTTGTTTTCTGCTAAGCAAGCTAATGAAGTGCTTGTTTAAAATAACCGGATAAGATTGTGTTAAACTGAAATCAGGTTTTTTTAGACAAAAAATATGAAAACAAAACTTGTAGGAACTTTCACCAGATTTTTATGGTACAATTTATTTTACGGAAATTGGAACCAAAAAAGTTTTACAAAGTTTGAAACAAATACAGTTTGTTTTTTTCTTGAAATCATTTCTACAAAAACAAATTAAATCAGGTAAAAATAGCAGTCGGGACAATCAAGGCGTTGACCCCATGCAAGCAATTTTTGGTGCTCATATACGATTAATACTTGCAAACAATTGATCTATGCGATAATCATTTTTCCCAATTATTCACAAAATGAGTAAAAATGGAGTCGAAATTTTCACGTCAAATGTTGAGGCGATGAATAACTATTCAGAACTCTTTGTTTTTGTTGTGCAGAAAAAATGACCGTAATAAATTATGTCAAACTCGTCTTTTCTCATTCAAATTAAATTTACAACTTGAGTATTGAGTGGTTAACTCATAGAGTAATTTCGGATAGGGTACACCGTCTGCTCGTCACGCTATCTTATTTTCGGCCGGATAGATTCGTGCAACTTCTTAGTCTAATACCGATCCTAATCTTACTCTTATACTATCTAGTCTCAGGTCGTTTAACTAGTCTCTGCTAGGCTCAATAGATCTAGGGTATACTGGTTTATTGCGGCTGCTGAAGTTCGCTTGGAGAGTCAACTAATTTCTAAGTTAAATTCAAATCTCTCTGGTGCTGAAATCACAAGTGATTTCAGCACTTACAAATAAGTGGGTTGTTAGTTAGATGGATCATGATTGGTTAATATTAAATACTTTACAGTGGTAAAATATCTAATTTATCCAATCATAAAATGTAGTTTAGATCAGGTTCCAGTATTTCCTGTAAAAGTATTTCATTTTTTGTTGTTGTATAAAGCAAAATGTCTTTTTCAATTGTTTTTTTTCACTATATATTTAAATTTAGGTATTTTGTGTAAAACTATTTTGTTGATCTTTTGTATAAACTAAAAATTAACTTTTTTTTCTAGTGGAGAAGTGAAATGTGAGACGCCCCTGATGTTGGAGACCATCTGCATGTTAGACATCAGTGACTTCCCCTATGACAGACAAGACTGCAAGGTCAAAGTGGGTTCATGGAGTCAACCGGTCAACAAGATCACAATCCTCCCCACCAACCGAAGCGTAAGTACACAACACTAACACCAATCACGAGACACGCCCACAATCCGTCGTTGGTGACAATTCGTCGTAATTAGAAAAAGCGACAGTTGGTCTCAAGGCAAGCTAATCAGAATTTTTGGCTCAGCGGTTCCACAAAACTTTTTTTTATCGAGTCGTACGACCACTAAGACATAGCCTTTTGGTTGCTGTGAATTGCTAAATCATTTTATTTTGAATTAGTTACACAATAATATGGAAAAATGGTCTGTGATGAGTTTTCGCTTTTCAAAATAGTACGAAATTTCGCCTCACAAGATTTTAAGACGAGTTATTTACAAGGAATAAAAAGCAACATACGAGTTGTTCAGCTCATCACGGAGAATCACTATTGTGCCCCTGCTTAAGGAAAACGCGCATTTTTTTGGTTTTATTTCCGACTGGATAATGTTTATTCACCCGCAAATAACGAGTATGTACACCGTCAAACATCGTGGTGGGTCTCGAATCATTCACCAGTCTATTGATATCCGGTTTTTAATAAAATTTAAAATCTTATAAGAATCTTATTAGGCCAATACATTTATCTTACAAATATCTTGTAATCAAACAAATTTAGATGTAAGATTCATATAAAAAATTGAATTATAATGTAAGAAACTGATAATTTTGAAAAAAAATAATTTTTTTTTATATCAAATTTTTTGATTCAAGGAAAACTGCTAGTATTACAGTTTCCATATATGAAAAATCACTAATGATAGAACTTTCATGCAATTTTCTGTACTTATAGAATTGCATGAAAAGTTTAATATTAGCATTTTTCATATAGCTTTTTTGGTCAGCCCGGTAGGAACTTACATGAATTTGACAGAAACTTGCTTGATCTTAGCAAGATTTGCATGGTCTCCACAGGACCTTGCATGATGATGGCAAGATTTTAGCGATATTGAAACACTGTGTGTTTACACGGGTTGACAAAAAATTGCCAATCTGCAATTTCAAACTAGGATACAATTGCTTGTCATACAATTTCATACTATTTCGTAGAGCAAGACAATCAGTATGCAAATAGCATAAAAAGCGTTTTTTTTCCACGAAACTTTATGCCAAAAAAGTAACTTTTTGTATATAAATAAACATTTCAACTTTGAAAATTTTGGTGGATGAGAAAAAAAGCTTGTTTTTCTTACAAAATTATGTTTATCTTAGCATGTTAAAACAAAAAAAAAACAATTTGGTTTAAAGAAATTGTGCTTGTGATTTTTTTTACTGGGTGAAAAAATTCAAAATAGACTAAGCTATAGACAAAAAAGTTACACTTTTGCGAGCAAATTTGTTTTTTCATGAAATGTATTTTAGGCACAGAGGAATGTTTTAAAGTTTTTTACATCAATTTTACATCAAGAATATCATACAGTTTTGATACCAAAATGGCTCTCATAAAATTAAACTTGCCAACAATTGGTTTTCTTTGAGTTTCATACCAATTTAAGCTAATGTTGAGAAAAACTTTTGATTGCAAAAATGCTTGTCACTCAATTGTCTTCTCTGAAAAATGTATGACAAGCAATTTTTCCATAAACTCCATATATGAAACTGTATGATAGGAATTTTTCTTGTATAAAGATCAACCCGAGTAATCTCACGACAAAACGTCTGACGAGCTCTCTAAATCCGATTCTTGGGCGTAAACTGGTGGCAAAAGGGGTGGGTAAACATGCTCAACGGCCCTCAGGTCTTCTTTTACATAACAAAATGGTAAGTTTTTTCTCTATCATTTCACTGGAATAAGATTCAAAACGATAATTACTAAAAATGCTATTAGTACCCCTGTGTAACAGAAGTGCGCAATTTTGGGTGCTATGTTTCTGTTTCCGAATTATTGGTCCGACTTTTGTAACGAAAGTAACGGAAAATTTGTGCTCGGGTTGGTTTTTTCTTCAGACAAATTTCGACGTTTTAACAAGCCATTTTTGACAGAATTTTTTAGCATCATTCGGAAGGTATTGTTGTCTTAAGCTGAAATTTGAAAAGATATTTCAGCCGTGATCAAAATTTATGAAATTATTGGGGTTTAATGATTGCCATTTGAGCCAATTTGGGATAATTAACGCGCGATATTTTTAGTGCTATTAACGCGCGATATATTCAGCGCAATTCGAGACAAAAAATCTCAAATAAAAAAAAACCACGTTATTGCTGCTCCATAGACATTAAAAGGCAGTCGGAACATTCAGGTCTTTGACCTGATACGAGCAGTTTTGTTGTATTGCTCTCAACCTCAACAATGAAAAGCCCCAAGTAAGCATAAATTATCAATTATAAAATAAAAAATCGAGTCGGTCTTTAACCGCCCACATGGATTTAATTAGTGACATGTACAAATTTAAAGTTGACTAGACAAACACAAAAGTAAAATTTCACGCCATTTGCCTAAACTGGTCCCTAAACTTTGTCAGTGAATATAGTCACCGTAACAAATCAAAACATGATCGATGATGCCATTAAGATTTAACATTAACATTTTAAAAGCTGGGATAATAAATTAGCTTCACTATACAAATTTTGCAACAATATTCCTCTGCTTTTATGGTGAAAGGCTTGTTAAAACTGTTTTGTTGATAAAATTAGCCACGCCTGAGAGCAGTAAATTATATTATGGTACATGGCTATGGTTTTAAGGTGGTCTAAAGCCACTACATTCCCAAATTAATATAATAAAATTCCAAAACTAATCTTATTTAAAGGGGCTGGTCATAATAATGCACCATCATTTGTACTTGTTTTGATAGCTTTAAGTTTTAATTTGGTGTATCTTGCATTAAAATTTGGATATACTTGTCATGTCTCAATCCAGCCAGTGTTTTTTTTGAAGGCGGGTCGAAATTTTACTTACAGCTGGAAATATACATGTGAAAGATAAATATTTACCACTCAGTAATTTCTAATTTCGCTCCCTCTGCAATTTCGGGTCGCGAGTTAGCTTGTGCAGGAACCGATTTAAAGGGTTTCACATGACTCTACAGCAGTTTAATGGTCATTTAAAACCATGATCAAAAATGGTGGGCCTAGAAATACAAAAAATGCTCGTATCAGGGCATTAACTGTTCGAAGCCTTGAATGTTCTGACAGTACTGAATGTTCTACAAAAAATACATTTAGCAACTACTGACACATTATTTACATCTATTTTAAATTTTGAACAAAACTGCTTGTATCAGGGCGAAGCCTTGAATGTTCCGACCGCCTTTTTAAGATCTATGCAGCAGTAATAGCATAAAAAATGATTTTTTTTTAATTTGAGCTTTTTGTGAAAATCATCCCCCAAACGCCATATAAAATACAAAGTGATAGTACAAATCAAATTATGGCAAATAAGCTTCTTTCAACCATTTTGGAACGATTTCTAAAACGGATTAAATCTCCGCTTACGCGTTAATAGCGCGAATTATATCGCGCGTTAATTGTCCCAAATTGGTCAAAATGGCCAAAATGACAATCTTTAAACCCTGATAACTTTACGGAAAATGATCTCATGTGAAATATCTTTTCAAATTTGAGCTCAGCACAACAATACCTTTCGAATGATATTAAAAAATTCCGTCAAAAATGGCTAGTTAAAAAGTCGAAATATGTCTGAAGAAAAAAAACCCACCCCGAGCACAAATATTCCGTTACTTTCGTATCCAAAGTCGGAACAATAAATATCCGCTTACGCGTTTATAGTGCGAAATACAATGCGCGTTAATTGTCTCAAATTGGCCAAGATGGCAAAATTTAAACCTCAATAACTTTACAAAAAAATATCACAGGTGAGACAACTTTTCAAATTTAAGCTCAAGACAACGATACCTTTTGAATGATATAAAAAAATTCCGTCAAATTTGGCCAGCTAAAAAGTCGAAATTTGTCTGAAAAAAAAAACACCCCGAGCACAAATATTCCGTTACTTTTGTTACAAAAGTCGGAAAAATAAAGTAATTCCTGCGAATCGCAGAAAAGCTATCAGTAGGCCTTAAAAGTCCTGTGTAGGGTAGTTCATTTGTATTCTCTCACCACATTCCAGACCTTGTTTTTTGTTGAGCGAAGCTCTTTTTTTGCGACTCAAGGCCGCTTTTTTGGGTCTAGAACTTTCACGTGGTACCACTATTGCAACGGAAATTAGTCAGGCTAGGGTATTCCTGAAGCTAGAGGTCGAGAGAGAATTCGTCCTCATCACATGGGATCGAAAACTCGATCTGACGCTTGCAAAGTGAACGCCTTGCCACCATGCTAAGTGCCTCAGTATGGTTTCTGAGGCGTACTATTTCTCGCGCATTAATTATCCCAAATTGACTTGTAAAAACTCACTTAACTTACAAAACTGATCAAAGGTAAATTATACATTTTTTTTGAATTTGAGAGCAAAATGTTTTTATTTTTCTGATGCTAAAAAAATTTCCGCTGAAAAATCGAGTTTGATCTGAATTATAAACTACCACAATCAGGTCATTTTTTGGAAAATGTTTCCTAACTTACAAGATTTTCATTACTTAGGTTGAAACATCTAGAGATTCATTACAAGTACGACTAAAAGTCAAAATATTTCAACCGTCCAAACCTTAAACTAGAATTTGAAGAACAGGAAGAGATCGCCAGTCATTCTTAATTTATGGGCGCAAAATGGTTATTCCTACAAAAAAAACTGCTCGTGTATCAGAGGAAAGCCTTGAGTGATCCAACAGGACCTCAGGGCACATTCAAAAAAAAGTTTTTGTTATAATAGATACAACAATAAAAATATATATAGTTATTCCATTTTCTTCATTTTATCTCTCCATTTGCTCTCAAAGTTCATTCGGCATGTATTAGGCATCTCGAGTATATATTTAGCATCTCTATCCAATCTATCCTAATATCAGGGCAAAGCCACAGGTAAGTTTTGGTTAAAAATTTCGTTAAAAAACCAATAAACCATAGAAAATTATTTTTCCAAATCTTCCCCCACATTGAATCAGACATCCAAGCTTCCATATTTTTCTTCTACTTTCAAAACATTTGGATCAAATAGTTTACTTGAATTTTATTTGGAATGACGTTTGAGCGAGGTCATTTTGCTCCACTTGCTGCTTTTTAACAAAAAACTGAAAAATTCGTGCTCAATGAACATCCAAAATTATTGAAATCAATTATCAAACTCCTTTGGCCTACCTCAGGTCAAATAATCATTGTCAAAATAGTTTTCTGCATTTAAGCAATGCAATAAAATGTTACAAAATCTACGAAAAATTTTGTTAAAAATATTAAATGAAAATTTCGATATTGTTCTGACTATAAAAGTCAAAGTTAACCATGATGCCTGCTTTATATCTTTTTTTACTAATGAGTCAATTAAATATTGAATTTTTGAATTTTTTAATTAAACATAGTGTGAAGAAAAAAAAAACTGGTTTAAAATATCATGCCACAAATGAATCCACAGAAGCTCGAGATATGTAGCATAGTTCGAAAAATTGTGCAAATTTTGCATTTGACAAAATGAAAAGCGTTTTTAACCGTTTATCCACACATTTGAAAATTCACCGAACTTATTTTTGATCAATTTTGTTTAATTTTGTTGTTCTTGTTCAACTTTTGTTCACAATTGTTCAAATTTCATTTTGTTCTGATAACTCAAAAATTTTAAACGCATTATAACAATTTTTTCAGCCAATCAAAGGAAAATTGGATGCATAACCCTTTATTTTTTTGGCTCTTTATGGCTGACAGTTATTTCGTTATCGACACTTGACAGCGTTTATAAGTTTCCAAAATATAACTACCGCTTTGTTGTCACGTTCCTTTTTTGTGCAAACTTCTATTGTCTTTGAACTATGACGTTTTGCCAACTAAATCAGTGCAAGTTAAAACCAACAAATTAATCGTTATTTTAAATTTTGAACTTTGTACCATATTGGATCAATTGAGCAACCTGATCCCCCCCATAAACGGTAAGACGCTACAAAAAACGTCAGCATACGCAAAAAGATAGTTGATGGGTTCATAACGAGTGAAATTAAGTTTATTTGAGTATCGAGAAAAAAAAATGAAAAAAGAAAAAATCGAGAATTACAAGTTTTTTTTTTGAAATTATTAATTGGGCGAACATTGCCTAATCGAGGAAAGCGAGTTACCAAAGTTGGAGCTCTAATTTGTCTCTGAATAGCTAAAACTCTTCTCCGCAACACCTTAATAATGTATGCAATAGTTTTTTTCATTTAGGACAGAAAAAGTCACTTTGTGCTTCAATTTTATTGATTTTTTTCACTCCGAATATAATTTTTGAGGTTTGATATTGTACATTTTGGCGTTCCACTTTCATACCATTCAGATTATTTCCAAGTGGTTATAAACATGTCTCAAGTACCTATTGAACTATCACCCCCGACGCGAGAATGAGGGGGGGGGGGGGTTGCTAAATTGGTCCCCAAAATATTTCTATTTTTAATACCTTTTACTTTTTCATGGGCAAGTACTTTATGAAGCAACAAATTTCAGAAAGCAACAAACTTCATAACTGATATGCATTGGCTACCATTTAAAGTTCAAATCTTTTTTTGCTTTGCGCCGCAAATCGGCGATTGTCATGTTGCTTGCCTGACTGTTTTCTGATTTAAGTTCCGGGGTGATTTGCCGTAATAGACTTGAATAGCTTTTCTCATCATCTGGAACACTTTTGGTCACCTGCGATATCTGAAATAGATTTTCAATAATTAAATTTTTGCTGAGCTTGTCAAAGGATGACTCAGTGTACATAGTTTTTGTTTCATTTAAAATTTGTACGTTATTTTGGGAACCATTACCTCCAGTTAGAAACTCCATGAGTTAGAATTTTTCCATTGGTTAGAAATGTTCCGTCAATATTATTCTTCTATAAAACGAAATCATAATTTTACTAACCTTTTTCACTCCCTGCAATATTGGCTTTGTTTTCGAGCTCTCAGTTTTGATTCTCTCTAAACGTTTCAGCAAATTTTCTTCAGATACTTTTTGAAACAGCGACGTTTCTTTGTTGTTATTGATAGAGTCTACTACAAATCGGATAAATTTTTTCGCTTCATGTGACTCAGACGATTGAGACAGCCGCTCAATTATCCGACAGGTCATTTCGAATAAAGGCAAGACTGCAATGTCTGCTTTTGACCTCAGACGACCTGCAAAAACTTCGTCTTCTTCCGAAACGAAAAGTTTCTGCAAGTCTTGGATAGAAATTCGACCTTTGCTGGACTCCTCGTCGTCTAAGTCAGCTGTGCTCTGATTGGTCGAATCTTGTTGACAAAGAAGAGATTCATAGCGAATCATTGTGAAGATTTCGTTTAGGAGCTCTTTCGGCTTAGATTCTAAACAGCAAAATTGCTAATGGAAAAAGGCTCAATTTTTGTTCCGAGCTTCAAAAAAGTGAAACGTATTTCTAATAAATAAGAAAGACTTCAATGGAAGACGGCAAAAAATTAATGATATGTTTGCATTTTCAGTTTTAATTAGAGCCATCATAACATGCCTTCGATTTCCATCAGTTTGAAGTATCTCGCAATCAGATTGTAGTTTGAGCCGAAAACCAGTTTCCTCATCTGGTAGCCCAAGTCGGCTATAGTGTCGTGTAGCTCGTCTTCGACTTGATAGTTCTGCTGATCCCGACTGAATTTGCCTAAGATCAAACAAAAACTTCTTTTGAACATATGAAATTAAAATTAAAAAAATATCGACTAGTTTTAAGTAATTTTCTGCCTCGATGAATCATTTCGTCTGAATTCGTTTTCTCGAGAGATCTGCTTGTTAGAAAATCTTCTTTTCTTGACTGTTTTGATTTTGAAAAATTGCAGAGAATCTAAAATAAAAAGTAGATTGTTGACAAAAAGAAATATTTCCTTGTAAAAATAACAAAATTCCAAATTTTCAAAGTGCCTCCTAATACTATGAGAAAAAAACAATTCTTTCTGCAGTTCTTACGAATTTTAAAAAAGTAATGAATCTAGTGAAGTTTTGCAAACTTAAATTGTGTGTTTTAACTGGTAGAAAGAACCTAAAATTCGTTAATATATTGCAACCTGGCTCTTAAAGTTTTTGAATTTTTTCATCTTGCTGTTTTAAAACATTTTTCAAGTAGAGCTCAAAGTACACACTCAATTAGCACAGGTGTGCAGGGCTAAAAAAACGCGCTTCTGAATTGATTTTATGCGATTCTTTAAATAATAAAAAATTCAAAATTGAAAATCTAAAGATACTGAAATTTTTTTTTTCGGAATTTCTTGATTTTTTTTCGCGGTTAAATGTTGGTTTTAAAAAACTTATGTCTACCTTAGTCAATTAATCATTTTGCTAGATTTATGGCTGCACATAGAAAATGTTTAAAGTTCTTTAAAGAAAAAAAGACAAAAATAAACAATTATCTCCGAAAAATTTTGAAAACGGTTTCAAGGGTACTCTGCTTTTGTTTATTAGCCTAAAAATATTCAGGAGACAAAGCAGTGCTTTACAAACACTAGCGAGAATACGACAAAAAGCATATATAGAGTTCTGAAAAATTTAATTAGAAAAAGTAAACATAAGCCTCGAGTTACTAAAATTTCGGCAACGTCGCGGACTCGAACCTACGACCTACTGCAACCTAGAAATGAGTCTCACGCACTAATCACGTGGCCACGCACGCTTAATACTTCACAATCACTAGCCACAAAAAAGCAGAGAACAGATGCTATGAAACTTCCAATGCTTCAGATCGTGATATAGCAAAAAGGCACAAAAAGTGAACCCTTTTAATGAACACTTTCATTTGTGAGTTAAATCAGTAAAAGAAGATTCATACTAAAACACTAGCTGCTCGCTAGCGTAACACTGGTTCAGTCAATGTCTCCACTTGCAAAGAAAATGAGGAAAAATTATGCTTGGGGTAGTTTTTTTATTTTGTCAGTTTTCGAATTTTTAACTGAGCATTTTTGACAAAAAAAATCTTGTAAAAGTTGTAAAACTTTTTCTATTCCCGGACTCAAAAGAAAAAAAAAACACGAGTGATTACTTTTGTTGTTTCTTTAAAAAAAATTAGGAGTTTGAAAATCGCTAAATTGGCCAAACTCATCAGTAACGACCGTTAAAACGAGCAAGAACGGCGAATTAAATTGTTCCAATTAAATTGAAGCGAGGCAAGTAGTTTGCTCTTATTTTTAGTATAGGAGACTTGCAATATATCTCCCAGTACTTTACGCAGCGTGTGAGGGATAAAATGAAGAAATAATGGAAAAAATTTAGTCCGTTTTCAACCAAAACTTTTCAAGCAACTTCAGAAATTCGTCGGAACATTCAGGGCATCACCTTGATATACAATCAGTCTGGTTCGACTTAAACTTTTTAGGTTTTTATTGGTTTTACTGACAAACTTTATTATCTCTTTTTTGTGTTAGAATTCTGCAAATTTTTGTTAATTGTTTTCAATACACTGAAAGTGAGAAGTTTGGGCTGTTTAATCTTTTTCAAAAAGCACTGCAGTTGTTGAAACTCACTTCATGAATAGCTAATAAAATCAGGGACTACAGAAATTTTTTATTTGTTCTTTGATGAATTTTTTCAAAAGTTGTAAGTAATTATTTAGAGATCATATATACGACTTGCACAATAGAAAAAATAGATTGCTCAGCAGTTTTGGCGTTTTTGTTGCTGCATTTTTGCCAGTCTCAAAAATTTTTAGGAAATTACTGCACAAATCAAATATTTTTTTGGAACAAAACTAAAAAACAGTTGCAAAAAATGATATTTTTTAAACTAACGCAAAAATTATTCCAGCGAGCAAAAATTAAAACATAGCAGTAAATCTTGCTTCTATTATTGCACTCATTAAATCCTTTGACATGCCTCAATTAATTTTAGAGTAATTTTTGAGCCGGATTTTTTGCTGGCTACACTACGCGTTAATAAAAAATGGAAATTTATTGCAAAAATACTATCTCAAAATTCAATTTGCAAACCTTGTAACTTTGTTCAGAATTGTCAAACCCCCATAATTTTCAGGTTCAGATGATATAAAAAAAATTGGTCAAGGATGCTGGTTAAGTAGTCAAAAACTGGCTGAAGAAAAATCACACCAAGCAATTATTCGACAAAAACACAAAATTCTATCAAGGGTATATAATTAAGTTTGATGAGAGTGCTTGCCTGAAAAATGCAGCTTTATTGGTCAAAAACGGCCTTTCTGGCCTGTTCGTGAAAATAAAGTAGACAAACTTTTTGATTTTTTTTTCGAAACCCGCCACTGTTTAGGAAGATCCTAGATCCGCCCTGATTTTATCCTACTTTTTTCAAAAATTACATTAAAAATAATAGTAATTTTAGTAGAATTGAAAGCATCTGAATGCGAACCTCACTTTGGGGCTAAAACTTACGACAATGCTGTTTAATTGAGTATTTAACTTTGAAAGCGATACATGGGTATATACTTACTGACTTCTGCAATTGATTCGTTCAGCTTTTCAGCGTTGTTGATGACATAATTTTCTAGATAGTTCTTCAATTCATCACTTGAGATTTCAGCTTGGAGTCGTCTTGTGATCCAAAGCAAATCTTCAACCTGAAAATTAAAAAAAAAAACGAATCATTTAAATTTTATAATTGCGAGAACCAAAAAAATCTGCGCTTTCGATCGTTTTTTTTTTCAATCAATTTGAAAATTTCAGATATCATTGCCAAATTGTTTGCAATATTGGTGGCCTTGAAAAACTTAGTTGTTCAAATAACGGTGCTTATGGTTGATTCGAATTTACGACACGGTTTTTAAGTACGCACATGAGTGAAAAAACAGCTCGTTGACCAAAAAGAATTATGACAACAACCAGGGGCGGATTTTCTAAGGGCGCCTTTGACGCCAATATATACTAACTTTGAGGGGAGCGCGCGCCAAAAAAAAACGCGGATTTTTTTGTCAAAATTTTCCAAAAAGTTCCCAAAAACTTTGACCTATTTTTTCAAAAAATTTGCTAGCGGCGCAGGAAATTTGGCCAAAACAGCGTCTTTTTACTGCTTTAGGAGAGCTCGGAAAATCAATTTGGTCGACCTAAAAAAAAGGTCGTCAAAATTTTCAAAAATTTTTTGAAAAGCCACCCCCCCCCCCCCCCCCCCCCCACCCCCCTCGAGAAAATCCTAGATCCGCCCCTGCCAACAACTTGGCATTAACTTTTAAATGAAACTTACGTTAACATTTTCCGAATCGATCAAATTTCTAGCTCGGTTGAGTTTTGATTCCTTTTCTAGTTCTGATTTTTCTAAACTGACAAAACAGTTAAGAATTCGAGCATCGCCCTCGTTCGGAAACCCAATTTGAATCAGTTTCAAGCTCCGTAGAGTTTCAGTAGACCCTGAAACCATTGGCTGTCTAGGAATAATGCAATCTGAAATATCCATTTTCGCAACCGTAACCTGAACGTCCTCGTCATTTTGGGTGCCTTTTGATCTTTGGAGAGGCAAGGAAAACTTTTGTGGAGCCGAAACTGGAATTTCTGTCTGGATTAAGATAACTCGGTCATCGTACGAGATCAGCATGCGATTTGAGTCATGTAACCCGATGTTAGAGTAGTTCACAGGCACTCGGGCGACGATGACAGACTTTGTTTCCAGGACTGAATTGAAAGTGAACTCACTTATAGAGATAGTTCCAGTCTAAACATGCAACCCATTTGTTATACCGTATGACTTGCAATAGATTACTTCTTGATACAAGCTTCTATAAAAGATAAAAGCTTCTCGAGTGATACCTTATGTTGAAGCCCTTTAACTCTTGATACGAATGGTTTTACTCAATGCTGAGAAAAATTAAATTAATTTGCTAATCCTGCCATTGCCAGAAAACCGTGTTAGTTACAATTTTATAATTTATTTATTTTTTCAGAACTTTTTTAACACCTAAGATCAACGCTCATCTCCTTTGTCAAAATTTCACTAAAATTTTTAAAAATTTTCTCAGGTCCAATTACATTCTTCCAGAAATTCACAGGGTGTAATAAATTTCATGAAAATTTTCGTTTTTTCTTTCCTTAAATGACAGTGAAATTTTTTTTTGCACAGACAATAAATATTCTTGATCGTAATCACTTTAAGAATTTAGATTTTACCGTAATACGACAACACGCAACAAAAGACAATTCTAAATTAAAGACAACTCGCAATAAAAGACAACTAGCAAAACACACCGACGCAGTCGCGTCAAGTATTGCGGACTTGCGAACCAAGGGTAGGAATTTATACTGAATTAAGAGCCGGTTATCGCGTCGAAGCTGCAACGCGCGCGTAGCGCACCAACCTCCAACAACCTTAAACCGAAATTCTAAAGTTTCAAGTGAACTTTCGAATCTTGCTAGTTGCCGCTTTCCCCAAGTTTTGCAAGTTATTTTTTATTTCGAGTTGTAGCAATGCCAAAACATTTCCAGTTTATTCTAACAAAATGTAAGATCCGCATAAGAAATCCAATTGTTCTATAACTTGGGTACCGATGCCCTCAACATAATGAGTTTCATACTATCGTAATTTTGGGGAAGTTGGCATAAAACAAGCTGACAAGTGGGACAAGCTGGGGTGACAAAGACTGGCACCGCGACAACTCAAGAAATTTCGCAAAAAAGACACCTCGCAAAGTTCAGGGAAAGCGACAACTTGCAATGAAAGCGACATCGGTACTCTGGTTAAAGTACAATTTATTTTCTTATACGGCTCTGATTTCTTGTAAGATTGAATAGAAAATGTTAGCAAAATTTTGTATCTAGTAAGCAATAAATCAAAATCTCAAATTAGAATCTGTATCTTCCAAAGTTTTTTACTTTTTACATTCTTACATCAGAGTTCAATTTCAAGAAAAAAAACACACCAAGTTTTTGTTTTCATAAGATTGTTATAACTTTCATGGCAAGATCTATGTATGCAGTGTCCTGCATCAATTTCACTACTGGTTTGAAAACTTAGATTTTTAATCCAATAAAAAACCAGTTAGGCAATCAATCAGAGCAAAAAGCATTTCATTAAGCAGAAAACTCATTGTAAGCTGTAAGAAAAACTATATTTGAACCTTTAGCTAGCGTAATCAACTCGCGAAAAGTTCCAAAAAAAAACAAAAAAATGAACTGAAAAACTTTTTTGTCATGGGTATCTTAAAATATAACTGAGATCAATTGGAGCCAGTGCTTTTTATGTTAAGCATAGTTTTCGTTTGTAATTTTTAAAATAAATTTTTGTGGAAAAAAATTTTCCAGCTACCTGCATAGGAAGTGGCTACACTAGTTTCTTTTTGTCATTTTCCGGTTCCCGTAATTTTATTGTGTCATTTAACAGATCATATTTGATTCATATGCTTTTTTAATCATGTTTTTAAAATTTGCTCTTTCTGGTTAAAATATTAAAAACTGATCGTTTTCAAATTGAAGTTTCCCAGGTTTCCTTTTTTATTTCATATTTAGTTCAATAGAATTTCATTTGCTAAAAGGAAGGCAAGTTACGCAAAAACAAAAACTTGAATGACTTTTAGTTTTTAAATTAATTTTTTTGTTTCGGAGTAAAATAAAAATAACTACTGACTCAGATTACTCTAATTGAGCTAGCCTAGTTTTTTTTTATAAATTTTAGTCAACTATAAATTTTCTTTGAAGATGAGAGAGCTTGCTCGTGAAATCTTTTTTTTTCTTGCAAAATTCAAAGTTTTAAAAATAGTTTTCAAAATGCAATTAATTTTTCAGTTGCCCTGGTCTTATTGAAAGTTTCCAATTTTTTGTTCTCACCTTGTCAACTACCGCTATCAAATCCGAATCTGCGTTGGTTCTCACTGCTTCTATACCATGTATGCCATCAACATCTTCTCCAAACATATCCAGCAATTTCGAAAGCTCCATTTGAATGGAAAACTCCATCGAATCTCCTTTCACCACACATCCATATTTGGGCATCCAAACGAAAGAGTTGAACTGTTTTTCAGAATCGGTATTTTGAGATTGGTTTTGTTGGTGGTTGAAAAGAGATTGAACAGTAATGAATTTATTGAAATAGTTCAGTTGGACGAATGAGCAGATTATGAAACTTTTCGAGAAGAGGATTTCGCATGGAAGAATTTCGGTTGCTTGAACAAATAATCGTATAAAATAAATTGATTTTGCCTCTTTCTCATTTCTTTTGTATATGCTAATAATTTGTATATTTACCCAAAATTTGACTGCTCACTAGGACATTTTCCTTCATTGAAAATTTGTGAAGCACTAGCTAGAAAAGAGAAAATATTTCATCAGCTTTGCTCAAAAAACTATTTTCAACTTTTAAAAGATAAAATACCTGTGAGTCATAGACAGGGATTGATCCCTGGACCTCGTGATCATAAGTCATATCCAATTTGAGCCTCATGCAAATCGCAATAAGCAGAACATCGTCTTGAGCTCCGTGTAATTTTGACATCAGTGACAATGCTCTGTCTAAATTATCATCCAATCCGAGCGAACTCAAATCAAGAAATTCATCGGGGGTTCTGAGCGAGTTGGACCTGGAACTCCGTGGTGTTGCAGTACTTGATGAAAATCCCAAAGTAGAATTCATCAGCTCCCATTTTTCTGGTTTTAGATGCGATATTAGAATTTGTGGATTTGTCAGCCATTTTTCACTCTTTCCCGCCTTAATTGGAAAACAAAGAAGCTCCTTATACCTTTAAAACATACTTTAATAGGGCGTATTGATTAAATTTGTATTCTGTTTTTGACTATGAATTTAAAAAAAAAAATTTTTTGTTTTTTTTTTCAGGAAAAAGTTGAAAACTTGTTCAAGCTAATTTTTTTTTGACGGTTTGGTTTTCATCCTTCCTCGGAATGGTTTTAAATTTATTTGTCTAATAAGGCGCAAATTCGACTTTCGGTTTAAGTAATGTCTCGAGAAAGTTGTGCTTGATTTTGAGCTTCAAAAGTGGTGTTTACTTATTTCTTAGAACTTTGAAGTAGTGGAATTTGAAAAATATCGAAAGTTTTCAGATTTGACCTAATTTCAAATATGATCAATTTAGGTTAGTTTTTATTCAGGTTCTTTCAGTAATTATAAAAACCTAGTTTAAAAAGTCAACGCAAAGAGTCACAATTCATCTTAAAATACAAAATTTTAGCTTTTAAGTTGTAGCGAACAGATGATTCTCTATGGGCTCCGAAGGCTTGAATTGGAAACCAGGTCAACTGGATTTGAAACCAGATTAGAAACCAGATCAACATGCTAAAGTCGCTTTGATAATCACACGGCAGTAGAAATGTTTTGTTGTTGTTGTTACAAACCTGGAGATCGTGTTTAATCACAACTCCTCGTTCTAACAAAATGAACACGGCATCTTGTTGACATGCAATGGATGCTACTCTGCTCCCCAACTCGATCACTTCACTCGAGCAAGCAGCTACCCCTAAAATAAAGCAAATTTATTTCACAAGACAGAAGCAGTAGCCCTATCCCCCCTTCGTAAGACTAGCTACTTTTACCAAGTTTGCTTTTAACATAGAAAATATTTCCTAGATGAAAACTCAAAACCTATCATCAAAAACGTTCACGAACAGTTTTCACCCAACCCAAGAAAACTTTAAAGATATAGCGAGCTTAAAGTCGCGCTTATGGACTTAGTTATAATATCATTGACAAAAAAATTGTGTACAAATTAAGTTAAGTACCCCTTTAAGCTATTTATGTTCAGTGGTATCAGACAAGGTCAACTTTCAGGTCAATACATCAGAGTGACGCTTTTTCAATTGTGATCCAATTTGTAACAACGATAGCTGCTTAAGCAACTTAAAAACTTTGCAGTGTCGAGAAAATTCAGTTCGAAGTTTTCGCTGTTTGGAGCAATGAGCCGATTCTACGGTGTTTTAAGCAAATGGGTTTTTTGGATAACTTCCAATAATTCAAACCTCTAGAGAACTAATTTTACAGCCAATTCTATTCCCTTTAAAATGAGATGACTTTTCTTCCGACCACTTCACGAAGTTTGAAATAACTATGAGGGTGTTTTTTTCCCGATGAAATTTGTCTATCTAAAGAAAACACATACGGGAGTCGGGTATGGTATCAAATTAAAACCGAATTGGTCGTGATTTGGATTCCAAAATTTTTTTAAAAGTTTGTGTCGAAAATATTGGTCTGCATTTTTGACATAAGTGCGCTTAATGTTATTTTTTGATAATTAACCTTTGATAACTTGGTCTGATAGTTTTTTTGCGCCTCTCTTATTTTTTTTTGATTTTTTGTCTAATTGACTGTATCTGTAACATTCTGCGCTCATTATTCAGCAACTTGTTTTTGTTAGCCTATTTTTTTCCAAATTCTTTTAAAGTTCGACTGCCGTAATCTGACTAATTTGCTACTTGAAATAAGAAAATAGTATTTGCAGTGAAGCATAGTATTATGTTACAATTTCTCTTTTTTTGTCTAGCAGTTTAAAGTTTTTTTGGCGCGGAAATTACTAACGCGGCGTTTTGTAATTCGCTTGCACTATACTTCTTCTATTTATCATCTGTGCCTAGGTTTTTGAAAAAGGCATTTTTTGAACCACTTCTTTCCTATTTATAAACTTATGATGGACGGATTTTATTTGTATACAAAAACCAATGACTGGATAAAAAAATATCAAAAAGCAGGCAAATAAGATATTGATAGAGGTTTTCATGAAAATTGATGATGCAAAATTTCGACATTGGACATGGAACATAGCCTTATTTAGGAGCAAAAATTGCATTTGATCGCCAAAATTGCATACTGACATTTGCGCTTTGCGTTTTTTAAATCACACTCTCGCTTCAGAGTTAGTTTTGTTAGCCTCGAAAGCGTCTTAGCAAAAGTGAAAAAAAATTGGTCAATCTAAAATAGAAGCTGCAAATTTCAAATCAAAAGGTGACTTTGGTTGGTTAAGAGGTGGATATTAAGGAGGCAATTGACCCTTGCCTGATTTAAAGAGCTAAAGAATAAGTCTATCGCTTCAAGAATATAACGAGTTATTTTTTTTCGTACCTTCAGTGTTTTCCGACATAAAAGATGAGTCATCGTTTTCAGCTGAGTTCTGATTGGTCCAAATGTCAGTCAACGGTAATTGGTGGCGCGAAAAACGCTGTGCGGGTTGCGCATTGTTGTAGAAAACCGGTTTAATACATTTTTTCAGCACAATTTGACTTGGTCTGTCTTCATAAACAATAATAATTAAGTTTGAAGGTAGAATCAATGCAAAACTTATTCCACAAGACATTTTCGCAATCAACAAAGTAAAAGAGTTAAAGCTAAAGTTGACATCTCGCTTTACAAATTAGTGAATTGTTCTTTCAATTTGAGCGCTTGTTTATTTTGTATGTTGTTTGCACTTGACGACTTTGAGTCATCATTGATTTTTCTCGAAAGAAGTTACGTGACCATTGGTATAGTATGGTATATATCGCTTTCATGTGCTGAGTTATTTCAAAATTGCGACCATCAAATGGCAGTTAAGCGTGTTAGAACTCTTTCAGGTTTTGCACAATAGTTCACAGCTATAACTCAAAATTAGTTTCTGTTTTCAGGAGGATGGAAACGGAATTGACCTTTCAAAGTATTTGGAAAATTCAGAGTGGAAGCTACTGGAAACCTACTCTGTGAATGACAACAACATGACCTACCCCGGCGCACCAATGCCTTTTTCAGAGGTTAGTTAGAAAGGGGTCTACAGATGGTGTAAAGGGTTTGAGGGTTGGTGGGGACCTTTTTTCGAGCTCTCAACACTATAAGGACCCCACTATATTTTCGAAAATTGTCTTCAATAAGCAGGCAAAAAACGGCGTTTTTGGGCTTTTTTTTGGGAAAATTTTTGTAAAAAATTGCTTTTTTCGGCGCCCCCCTTGAAATTAGTTATATTAGCACCATAGGCGTCTTTATAAAATTTTTGAGGTTGGTCAGCCAAAAAAGGATGTAAAGTTATACAAAGGGAGGACCGCTCGGAAAAATTTGGCAACCAGAATTGAAGCGGGGGGCTGAAGGCGGTCATCCCGCCCCACTCCCTCGGTACGCTACTGCTGATTGACTTTGTCTTAGAAAATCCGGTTTTTTTTCCATCTCCCACACGCATTTCAATTTTTCTTTCTTATATAGTTGTGTTACGCCTTATTAAGGCTAAATGGGTGATGTTACGATGTAAGCTATGAAGAACAAATGAGTTCACAATAGTAAGTTTGCATTCTTTTGCAAATATCACTGGACTATGGCAACCTTAGAATAGTGTGAAAAACTTGGAATTCAAACGTGGAAGTGGGGATGGAAAAGAGCCAAGTTTTAAACAAAAGAAGATTTTTTAAACAGTTTTTAGAGTTGACTTCGATTTATTGTCCGATAGTCAAGTAGCAGAAAATTTCAGCTGCTGCTGCGCCGTTCATCGTTACAAAAATGCAAGTCTTCTGCTATTTTTCTGGGTACAAGATCGGTTTAAGGTGGGCCTCGATCCTGAAACCTCTGTTTTATTAGACTACGGCATTAGTAAATTCACCTTTAATCCAGCATTTATTGCTCCGACCGCAGCTGAAAGTGAGGAAGAACTTTGCCGAAGAATGTGTTTTTCCCTTTTTTGATTTCTTTTTTTTTAAAATTTGCAACACAAAGTGAGGTGCCGAAAGCTTGAATGCTTTTTAAGCTAAAAGTAATTTGATAGTTCTATATAGTTCTAGTTTACTGAGGCCAGTAAAAAATTTTCCAGGCTACGTTCCGTTTCTCTCCTCTCTACACGCAGAAAAACACAATTTTGAACATTTTATCAAAATTAATATGGTCGGAACTTTCTGTGCTACTCCTTGTTTAATCTCTTATTCGTTTACATACGGCGCTTTCTGACAGAATGTAATGCCTTTAGAGTCCTTCCGATACTCGGCAAATGATGAAATATACTTATGAGTATAACAAATCGTCCTACTGAGAACAATTTATTATTATCGTTTCAGCTGGAGTACACGTTAGTGTTGGAGAGACGGAAACCCTTCTACGAACAGAACATGATACTGCCCACTGTCTTGACTTCATCCATGTCAATTCTAGTGTTTCTTCTGCCCCCCGAAAGCGGGGAGAAAATCTCGCTCGCAATCACCATCTTCCTCGCTCTATCTTTAAACATGCTCGTCATTTCGGACCACATTCCTGTAAACTCCCTTCAAATTCCAGTTGTCAGCAAATATTGTTTATTTTCTCTGGGTACTATAACAGTATCGCTCTGGATGTCGATAATTGTGATTAATATCCACGGGTACAGAACCCTAAGTAATACACACTACATTACCCATCCGCCTCAAATCCTCGTCAAACTGAGCCGAAAGTTGTGGCCTTATATAAGTATCAGAAACACACCAGTAACCATGCGTAAAAAATCCAGTAAAAAGAATGAATCATCGTATGCGAATGGCCCGACGTGCTTTCGAATGAGAGAGTGGAAAAACAAGGGAGACTCGACAAAGAAACCGGCAACAATTTACCAAAATGGTGTAGTTGAATTGTAAGTACACATGAATATGCATCCCGGAATGCCATGAAAATGATAACGGAGCTGTGGTTTTTCATGTGGATTTTTTAATATCTCGAAAACACAACAATAAAAACCCGTTTCGATTCTACTTTGAGCATCCTTACATTATATAAAACCAACCCAACCAGGACCAGCAAAAAAGCAAAAACTTTCAAAACTTTCAAATACACTGACTGTTTTTCATCTTTTTTTTCGTTTTTTTTTCATATTTCTCACAAAATGAAATTATCAGTGAAGAAAAGTTTTGCTTTGCAGCTTCAAAATAAAGTTTGCAAAAAAAGCCAGGCGGTTTGGAGACAGCGCAAATCAGTGAAATTAAGATTCATCTAAGTCGACTGACAGTTTTTATATAATTGTGACATTTTTTGAACAAAAAATAACGAACTTGTTCCCGAAAATTTTAAGACAAAGCAGCAGCTACAAAATTGCTTACGCAAAACGAAAAGACTTTGATCGAAATAAGAGAATATTGATTAATAACTACAGTCATTTTTTTCCATATAGCTTTGAAGTCGATTTGAAGTAAATAAATTTCAGTCAATTTTCATCGAACGATTTTGATTTTAGTGCATTTTACGAGATACTTATTAAATAGTTTCAGAGTAATGGCCGAGGCCACCGACAATCAATCCGCTTGACTTACAAAACTGGCCACTGCGAACAGCGTACCCGGACATTCGGAGTGGGAAGCAAATTGCATCATATTGCATCTATTCATCATATTGCATCTACTATTCACCAATATTTTTTCCGCTTATCTTCGTTCTCCAAAAAAAAACGGCGTTGGTGTGATTTGAACCCCGGACCTCACGACCGAAGGACAGACGGGCTACCAACTGAACTACATCGCTCAGCCAATATGAATCCTAATTGCAACAAATGCAACCATACGCTAGCGGACGGAGTTGAACTGTTTGTTTGTTTGTTTGACTTGTGGAAATTCAATGCACTGGACCCTGAAATGCACTGGGTTCTCAGAAACATTACTAAAAAAGTTAAGAGAATTAAGAAACAACGTCCTCCTGATGTGTAATCAATGCTCCAGCAATGGCAAACGAGACTTGGTTATTTCTGTGGTTTCCAGGCAATCTTCTGCTATAGAAGCAATTCAAAAACAAATGGAAAAAGCTGAAAACTCTCTCAAAACGCAAACCGAAGTTGAACTGAAGAAATATTCTGAGGTCCTTACCAACACCCTCGCTACTTGCGCAGCCCCACACCCTGTGGTGGCTGCGACAAAGAAAAACGTACAGAAAGAATCTACTGGCAACGCACTCAATGGTATCCGAATAAGAGGAATTCCTGAATTGGTCAACAGAGATCCCGCCTTGCGCTTCAAGGCGGATCAAGTAGAAGTGAACAAAATCTTTTCGCACCTGGGCCTGGCATGCCAAGCAACAGATATCAAGAGAAGGGGCAATCATATTAAAGGCAAAGATCGAACCATAATGGCGAGAGTAAACAATGCTTGCGACCGAAGACTCATCTTTCTTTCTTTATCGAAACTTAAGCATTACGACAAAAAAGTGTTTGTGTCTCCCGAACTAACAACAAGTGAATTTGAAAAAGAGAACCTCCTGCTGCAGCAACGGCGAGTAATGATCAATGGGGGCGCAGAGCCCAGTAGCATCAGACTGAGAAACCTTGTGCTAGAAAGGAAAATATACAAAGTTTGGACCATTCTGCCTGCTCCTACCGCAGACACAGAGTCCGAATCAGAATCCAAATGACTAAACAATGCCTCAATGTCCGTCCTTGTATACAATGCTCGAAGTTTGTTGGACATTAAGCGAAGAATGGCTTTCGCCAACGCCTCAACCAGTTCAGACTTTCATATTCTTCGTATAACTGAGACCTTGGCTAACTAGTCACGTGACTAACAGCGCCTTATTTCTCACAGATTTTACTATCTATAGAACGGACCGAGCGCATACTGCCAACAGTTCCACCAAACATGGTGGCGTTCTGTTGGCTATCCGACACCCCTACTCGTCGACTCATCTCGACACATCAGATAACCCTGATTGCGTTGCCTCATTGGTACAGTCCTCACCTACAACCAGTCCACTACTGTTCTGTTGTGTCTATTCAGCTCCTGACGAGAGCTCCTATAGACTCAACGTGAGCACTATCAAACACCTCCTGCTACTACTGCAACACCACAAAATGGAACACAACTGCGAGCACGTTATCGTTGCTGGCGATATAAACCTGAAACATACCGATTGGTCAACCATGGTCTCAACAGACGCATACGAATCCGAGCTCCTGGAACTCTTGGTTCAATTCAACTATCAACAAACTTTGGCAAACAACTCCTGCATGCTGGATGTCTTCCTCATCAATAATACCTCGCCTCTAATCCATACGGCAGTTGACGAAGCCTTCGGAATCGCACACTCAGTAGATTTCAAGAAGTGCTCCGACCATCAGCCGTACTCAATCCTCTTACAAGTTCAATATGCTCCTCCAAAGCCACCAGCCCGTCAACTAATCGATCTGGACTTCAACGTGTTCTCATACCATAAGGCTCACTGGGATCTCATCGGAATAGAAATTATCAACAGTCCTTTCACTGGCTACTGCTACAGCAATGTGGATGTCCTCTTGACTTCATGGTATGAGTGGTTGTATAGTATAGTATCGAAACACATTCCGCCCATCACTAAAAACCGCCGTAACCTGCCCCCCTGGGCATCGGGCGAGGCGTCGCATCTGATGAAAAAACTCAGCACACTACGTAAAGCCAAGAACCCAAATGAAACGAAAACAAACATCACTGAAGAAAAAGTCCGTGCACAACTGAGGCTCGATCAGACTGAATTCGAAAGCAAAACATTCATGGATCGGAATTTCTCTAAAATGCACAAGTATTTCAGAAGCATACGACGCAGCCACCAAACTCTTCCTATTCTAAAGTGGGGAAGCATTTCAGCTTCCAGCGATGCTGACAAAGCCAACCTCCTCAATCGCTATTTCGATAGCGTGTTCTCTCCTCCAGAAACTACTACTGCTATATACGATCTTGAATCTGAGCCTGCGAGCAAATTGGGGTCAATCACAATCAACGACCAAATAGTCAGCAATGTAGTCTCGAAACTGTCTTTGGCCAAAGCCCGAGGATGCGATGGTATACCAAACATCCTACTGAAGAATATATCTAACGTCAAATCAATGACCCTCCTAAAGCGAACCTGTAAGAACAAAGGAGTCTTTCCTGAGCAGTAGAAACACGGACTAACCATCCCCGTTCACAAAGGGGCGACAAACAAAATGTCTCAAACTACAGGCCTGTAACACTTCTTCCAGCACTTTCAAAAGTCTTCGAAAGAATCATATTCGACGCCCTCTATCAACACTTCCGTCCTACATTAAATTGTTCTCAGTACGGGTTTCGGCCTAAAAGAACTTCAGTTTTACAGATGCTGAGTTTTCTCGATAACATCTACAGTGGCTTAGACGAAAATTCAACTGATTTGCACGTGCTATTTATAGACTTTGAAAAGGCGTTCGACAAAGTTTGTCACAGAAAACTTCTAGCCAAACTATACAACATCGGGATTCGAGGAAAACTTCTCCAGTTGATTGAAAGCTACCTGAGCCATCGAACACAAAGAGTCAAGATTGGCGACAATATCTCTATACCATTGCTGATCACAAGTGGGGTACCGCAAGGATCTATCCTGGGTCCGCTTTTGTTTTTGATTTATATTAACGACCTACCCGACGGCATCCACTCTGCTCCGTTCGGTTTTGCTGATGATTACAAATTTGTATCCCGCAAGCTTACAACTAGATGCCAATACACTTATGCAGTGGTGCGAAGAGAATAAAATGCGAATCAACAGTGGGAAATGCAAGCTTTCTACATGATTAAAAGAAACTCTTCGCCGTACATCAACCAAAAACTCAAAGCTGCTTTATATTGTGGATACATTGTACCAATATTGACCTATGGCTCCCAGTGTTTGTATTTCAATAAAGGATACCTCAGAGTTATTGAATCAGTGCAAAGGAAATCAACCTCCTGGATCCTCAACTACCCAACACACCTGAGCTACAAAGAAAAACTTCATCTCCTAGAGCTGCTACCATTATCTCTTTAAATGGAAATGCACAGTCTACTTTTGTTTTCTGACATCATCACCGATAAATACGACTATGATTGGTCACAATATGTATTCTTCACCAACTTTACCGGTACTAGGGTCTCAACTCATGATATCATCCAAACAAGAAGTACAAATAAAGCGAAGTGTAGAAAAAACTTTTGGTACATCGCTACAAATTTTGTGAATAAACTCAATCACGTAGTCGATTTCTTTTCATCTGGCCTGAAACAAAGACTTACAAATCTTTACTGGTCGCACTTCCTGAACAACTACAACGAACTTGATGCATGCTCTTGGCGCCTCATGTTTTGTAATTATCTTTCGGCCGAATTTGTAATTATCTTTCGGGGCTTACCCCCCTTGAGTTTATACTTTGTTTAAACTCTGAATTCATTATTATTATTATTATTATTATTATACTCATCCTGTATTTTTAAGCGTTGCTGAGTTGGTGTGGTTGACATTACCGTATAGACATCAGTAACATGATGTTCTAACACGAGGTTGGATCTAAGATTTTATCAAACGGAGCGGGGCGGAATTTAGTACAAAATCGAAAAAGGCAACTTTTTCTTTGGTCGCCCGAACTGATTTTCGAAGCTCTTCTTGTAAAATACTACAATTTTTCTATTTTATTTTAGAAAATTCTGCTTATTGGAAATAATTAATAAAAAACCTGCCATGCTAAAAGAACGCTTCGTTACGCGCGCTCCCTCTCAAAGTTAGTGTTTACGGACGCCAAAGGTGACTGTAGAAAAAACTTAGTTTTTTTTGAGCTTCACGAAACAAATATGTTGAGCTGTTGTTCCAGTGAATCAAAGTCTCATTAATCTCTTTAATCACAATTTTTTTATTTAACCAGCTTTTAGTGATGTTATTTTTTCCTACACACTCAATTTTGACAATTTTGCTTTTTTTTGTATTTTTTATTTGAAATTTTTAGTAGCATTTTTCGAAATGCATGCTGGCTAGAAAGAATCCCCAGCAGTTTAAATTGGTCATTCAACTGTAATTCTACTATTTACTACATTTATTTATACCTGGCTGTCGCAATTTCAACGCTTAATGTACGAAGCCGATATTACCTATTTAAATAGTTTTGCAACACAGATGTGAAGCTTCGCTTCGCAAACACTCGCGAGCATTTAACAAAAATTAGCTTGCGAGAAAACAATAAAAGGTGCAATAAGAAAGTAGAAATAGGCTTCGAATGAGTGAAAATTCGGCTACGTCTCAGATTCAATCTGCGACGTAGCGATTATAACTCTCACAAAATAACCACTCAGCCACGGAAGCCTTATTAGTTACAAGCACTAGCCACAAAAAAGCAGAGAACAGAATCCGACAAAAGATAGACCAAGTTTTTTTTCACACTGAATATTTTTTGAACCTAATACATTTACCGTCCCAGTCGTAGTCGTTACCTCTAGCTAAAGTTCGCAGGTGGGAAAACCCAAGAAGTTGAGTTAATTTTAAGTTAAGCTGTCCAGTGTTTTTTTTTCAAATCAAATTGTTAACACGAAAAAAGTACTTATTCGGTTTTGATATATCTTGCAAATTACACTCTTAAAAATGTGTTAAGAATCTTTTATTTTCTCAATAACTACATAACAACCAGGATAACTTGTCGCTGTGCAAGAAGCACAATGTTGCGGCCATATTTCTAAAAAAAAAACTACTAAGAATTTTTACAGTTTTTAAAATTAGTTTTGTTTTTATCCGTGATAAAAGATCAGCAAAAAGACAAAAGCCTGTAACTAAGGCATATCTAGACAAAAGCCTGTAACTAAGGCATATCTAGACAAAAGCCTGTAGCTAAAGCATATTCGGCAGTCATCATAAAATAGGCAAATTGATCAAACTTTATTTTTAAAAAATTTGAACTTTGTACACCCAAGATGGCGTTGAAAAAAATTTTAAAACTAATTTCACTGTAGTTAAATTAAATTTTCAGGTTGTGAATAAAAATTTTGCGGCTTGCACTTGTATATCAAACCTGCTCGCTCACTTTACTCGCTCGAAAGGGAACTAAAACTCCAACATTTTCAGTCAGTTTTTCTCAACAATCTGACAAATCTTTGGAAATTTTTTGATGTCATTCACATCACGACTGGAACGGTTTAGATAATATATTTCATCATTCCGATGATCATTTGCGGTACCTGGTTTCGCGAAGAAAAAATTGAAAACACCCGAATACAAAGTTCCTCCCCATTTTTCAATAATCGGAACCAAAAAAAAATGCTCAGAACAGTCAGTAAATCATGCATTCTGTATGAGGTTCTTCTTTTTAGATCTACAGATCCTATGTACGAGAGACATGCTCAACTAGAAAACAACGGATCGATTCCCTCCCAGTGCTTATACAGCCGAATAGACGAGGATTGTCTCAAAGCCGAAAGCCAATGCACACTCTCTGCGAATACTCGTTCGATTTACCGCACAAACCCCAATCTGAATAACATCAGTAACAATCACTTGCAGAACACTTATAATTTCAACAGTAATCACTTGCAGAACACCACTATGACCTCAAACATAAAAGGTCAAGGGCAGTGTTGCTCAGTACACTGTTCCATTCTTGAGACCTTAATTCTGAATCTTACAAATTTAAGCGAGACCATAGTAAAAGGTTTACCCTCGGAACATTCTGATGCAGGGAGTAATAATCAGGAGGCGGACCTAATAGTTCAGGAGTGGACGCTGATGGCGAGTGTTTTGGATCGTCTTCTGGCTATTTTTTACCTGGTCGCCAATGGTTTTGTGACTGTATACTGTTTTTACCCATATTATCCTTAATTTTAGAAAAAAAACAGTCAAATTTACAATTACACATTACGATTTTACAAGTTTAGGACTTTGAATCAGCACTTTTAGTTGGATTTATAAAATAAGATTATTATACATACATAGTTACAACTCGCAGTACATATTTACAAAAGAAAATGCCTGAATTATGTCTCTGAAAACAATGAAAATTTGGATTGAGCTCATTTCTTAGTTGACGTAACTTTGTCAATGCTTGCCTGCATATTTCTCATTATTCTGCTCCTTTCTCGTCTGAAACAATTTCAATGTTATTTTTCTAGCTATAGATTTTTAAAAAACGATTAAGCGAAAAAAAAAACTATTCGGAAAGATCATACTAAGAGATCAACGTCAATGCAGGGGCTAATTCGCCTTTCACAAATACAGGCAAAAACAGATGATAGAAAAAACTGTTAATGAAACAAAAACTTGCAAACCCGTCTCCAATAATCAATCGCCACGCAAAGTTAGTTCTGAGAAAACTATTCCAGCAATGAAACTTTGAATAACTTAAGGTTATTCCAATTTATCGGATTGCAAAGTTTAAAGTTTTTCGCTGCAAGCTATTCATTCCAAGCATTTAAATTTGAAATCTTTCAAAATATTTCAGCTGGAATCAGTTCGCAATTTTTTTCTGAGCAAGCCTTTCTAGCAATTTCGAAATTGTTCATGAGATTGCTTCAAATCGCGTCGCAAAAAAAATAGGCTCTCCAAGCAAGACGTTTTAAGCGATGAAACTTTGAAGTCCATTAAGTTATTTCATACCGTAAATTGATTCGCAAAAACCTTTTTTAGCAAGTCACTCAAGCGTTGAAAAGCTGAAAAAAATTGTCGGGCTCTTTCAATCTGTGAATCGCTTTGCAGAAATAACAAGTTTTAATAAACAAGCCATTTAAGCGATGAAAATTTTGATAATTTTCAAGTTACTTCATATGTGAAATAGTTTCGCTACGAAAGTTTTTCGACGAAAGCCATTCAAGTGGCCAACCTTTGAAACTTGTCAAGTGTTTTCATAGAGCGAATCGGCTCAGAGTATGCCAAAAACTTTTCTCTCAGCATTACCAAAAAAAATTTCTCAGCATTTCAGCATAACCTTTAATATGATAATTCTTTGAGCATCGCAAACTTTATAAAAATTCGAGCACAAAACTAAGAGATGGAAACGCCGCAAAAAATTAATGAAATTTTAATTGTGGTCCAAAAAATACGAAATACACTAAGAAATTTGCAAAATCCTACCAAAACAAATTAAACAGCAAGATCATTAGAGCACACGCCGATATCCAATTCTTTCTTATACCTGATACAAAAACGGAAAAAATTATTTGAAAAAAAAAACTGATTTTTCAAAGAGAATGGCGCAGCGGAGCGAAATAAACTAGAGACTGAAATGCGAATTTCAAAAAATTTAATGCAATTTTATTGACCGAGTGACTACTAAAGCCAACAAAACTTGGTTCGTCACCCGTTGAGCCCGAAATTGCCAAAAAGTTGTGTCATTAATTTTCTTGAGAGACTTGAAGCTTTTACACCCCACCCATCCTGAAATAGGGTGACTGCGCCAAAAAACAAAGCAGAAACCAATTGACGAAAAATTCCAGCAGAAGATTACAAGTCACTTGCTCTCGCAATTGAAAACAATTAAAAAATCTACAAAAACTTTGAAAAATTAGGAAATCAATCTATTTAAATTCTTGAGCAAAAAAGAAGTTTATACACAAGGCCAAGAAATGTACACTACACTCTTAAGTCCATTACTGAGAAAGAAAACAAAGTCGACCGACGGCTAGAAAAAAGTCAGTAAACGCAAGTGAACGAAAAAATACTCTCTTGTTTTTTGAAAAAATATTAACTTTCGAATTTTTAAAAGAAAACATAGATGATATTCAAGCCCTTTGAAACTCTAGATCAAATTTTATTACACTTTTATGATAAAATTAACCCAATTTAAGAAAACTGTATCTATAGGTAAAATCTTTACTTTCTTGACCTTTAAAAATTTGATGTTCGATAGTGGAGTTTCCTTTCCGTTAAACAAAGAAAATAAACTGAACTTGAAGAGAAATCAAAAGTCGCACCGCGAAAAAGTAAATTTGAGCCGAAACAATTTTCAAGACTTCTCCTTAAAAAAAGAAAAAATCATCACGACCTATCTAAGAGTCTTAACTACGTTCATCGACTCTAGACAACTCAAAAATTTAAAGCGACACTTGGCAAATGCTTGTTTAGACGAAAAAACAGTCAGGCCAAATTTAGATTTCTTTTTGAAAAACTGAACTACATTTCAAACAACTTGATGCGCCATCAACTTGCATGAATTTACTCAGCAAATCTGACGAGAGTTTCGACACTTAGTTATTAAGAAATAAGTTAAAAAAATTGAGGCAAAAAATAACCAAAAGTCATGCAGCCCAGAAAACTGACGTCTATTTAAAAAAAATGACTAACAAACATTTTTGGTGAACATCGAAAAACAAAAAACCAAAAAATTATATTTACACAGCTCAAAACTAAATATAGCAAGAGTAATAACTTTTTATAAGCCTATTGAAATAAAACACTCGAAGAAGGTCGACAACAATTGGGACAATATCACAACAGCTGACAAAAAATCAATAAATTTCCGGAAAATAAAATGAAAATTTTCAGCTCTAGAACCGGCACCACTGCATTGTTGAAACATTTAGATGCAAAAAGATTACCATGACTCAAATGGAAGATGACCAATTTCAATTACCCTGAGATAAAATATCTGAGAGGGGGAAAAATCAGGTACTGGGTTGCAATATCCTTGCTTATCTAAGGATAAAAACCAGATCAGGAAGTTGATAATATATTTCTTACTGAGAGAAATTGTTGGCGAGTTTGAGCAGACTGTCAGCGCTGATGATTGGATTTTTATCAGCCACAGTTCGGATCTTCAGACCTAAAACAAGTAATCTGCTGTTTTGAAAAACAAACAATCAGATCACACGGTTGACCTCGCTATTGAAAATTTCCAAGAAAAGATTTACAATAATGAAAAATTTGAAGGTATGTCGCTAACCGTGATTACTCGTCTCTGATGTGATGCTCAATATTACCAAATACTGATTTAAAAAAGATCAAAAAACATCAAATTTAATAGTCACATCGCTTAATTTTATTATCACTAGCTTAAATGAAGTCCGCTGTAAGTAAATAATATGTTTTTTGAAAAGCCTAATTATACTTCAAACAATTCATTGTGCCATCACCATGAATCCATTAACAAAAAATGCTAAGTTGCTAGACGCTAAGTTGTTAGAAAATAGATCCAAAAAACTAAGGCAGAAAAATTACCAAAAGCCATGCAGCCGAGTTTGAAACTGACAGCTCTTATAAAATTTGAGCATGGAAAAAGGGTTTTGAGACTCATATTTACCTTTAGGGTATTCGGCTTGTCTTTCGTTTCTGTCTCCTTCCGAGAATTTCTTCTTGGCAGTCTCGAAGGAGTCCAGCAACTCCAGATAGGCAGCCACTCTCACCAGAGTCTCAAACACCACCCCTCCCTCCTTCCCTCTACTCTTGTCTAATCCCTGTAATAATCAAATTCAGCAACACTATCTAGCCAATACTCTAGAACTTACTAAAATCAGTAAAGTCAAAAGCGGATCTAGTATTTTCTCCAGGGAGGATTTTCAACCAAAATGATTTTCCAAGCTTTCACAAAACACTATAAAGATCCTACTTTGCATAGGACAATTTCAGCGTCTCAAAAACTTTCGCAAAAACAGACCACAAATGCTTTTACTTGTCACTTTTGAAAATTCTTTCTCATTTTTTGCCAGGATCCCCCTCCTCGCCTCTCAAGGGGTGCCTCTCAAGGGGTGGCGATGGGGTCGAATCGTCCTCTAAATTCACCCCTGATTATAATAATTGTAAATTTATTATCGATATGATATACTAAAACAGGGGCGGACACAGGATTTTCTCGAAGATAGGACGGCAAATTTTCAAAATTTCTTGTCAGCTTCGTTAGCACTAATGAGAGCACGACAAAAAGCAGCCCTAGAAAGTGCAATAAGAAAAAAGCTAGATCTAGGATTCGATCTGCGACCTACTGCAATCAAGAGATTTTGAATCTCACCAACTAACCACTCAGCCACGCACACTTAACCACCGTCGCACAACACTAGTCACCAAACACTAGACACGAATAAAGCAGCTACATATGCAAATAAATTCCCAAGCCATTCAGCAAAAGTGGCACCAAATACAAATAGACACAATTTTGTAAGTAATGATGTGGAATATAACAAATTGAAGACATCAACACAAACGTTGCATGTAACAAATCGCAAAATATAAAGCTAGATTATTTATAAATGAAGCACTTGAAAAAATTGCGAGATATATTGCGAGTTAGAAAATTTGTGAAATCGAGTTATTAATATTATTGTTATGTTCTTTGAAACAAATAAAATAGCTTTTTTCGGTTCATTTGATGAATTAAAAATGCATCAACTGTGTTAACTTATTGCTATTCGAAGGTCAAAGCACATGCTATCAAAAAGCTGTAAAAGTGCCCCAAAAGTTGCACCAATATTTGCGACTTGGTTTAGAAAAAAAAGAATCTTTATAACACACTAAGCTGACGCTAGTGTAATAATCGTTAAAAAGAAAAAGAATATTCCGCCTACGGAATGCCAACCATTCACCTCTGAATCTGGTTCTTTTGAGTTCAAAGCTGCTCCATAACGCCTTGCAATCCGAAGGCACAAATAAAGCAGATAAAACACATGCTAGCAAATCGGAGAACTATCATAATTCGCAGAATAATCATATCAGAAATTACGAAGAGGCGAAGCCGCACTTTACAAAGACAAGCGGAAAAACGGCAAGAAGAAGCTCTGAAAAGTTTTTGAAAAATTGAAATATGGAAAGAAAAAACAAAGTTATTCTTAAAAATTTAAACTTTTGCTATATGCCGGAATCGAATCAAAGTCCTGGTTTTTAAGGGTCTCAACTTCTCGCATCAGCGACACACTCGCTGGACAACTGGAAAACACTAGTCACCAATAAAGTCCTGAAAAGGCTGAAACAAGCTTTGAAACATGAAACTTTTGCTACATGCCTGAATCGAACAACGGACCTTACATTAGGTGTCTGACATCCTCGCATCTGCACCCCAGTCGCTTAACAGTAGGCAATCACTAAAAGCAGCTAACATATACTATCAAATTGCCAATGCTATGAATGAATGGTAGACAAAATTTACCAAAAGTGCCACCAAATAAGCACTTCAGTTTGCGACTCGGGTTAGAAAGAAAAACGGCTTCGCAGTATAACACCACAGGTGAGTTAGCTGCATAATCTGGTCAATTTTTCTAAGTTTTCAACGATACGATGCAAGTCTTTTTCAGATTTGTTTATTTAAATATATTTATAAAGATGGTAAATACAGCAAAAAAACTTATGCTAAAAGCAAATTCGACGCGAGGTAAAAAGTAAATTATAGACGCAGAGGCGAAGTTGCACTTACCAACTAACATGCCTCAGTTATTTACCAACTAACATGCCTCAGTTTATAGAGCAGTAATAATATGAAAAAATTAATTGTAATAAAAAAACGATAACTTTTTTTAAATTTGAGATTTTTTTTTGAAAAACATTCCCCCATACGCCATATTTGGTACAAAGTGATAAAATTCGCTCCTGAAAACAAATCAATTATGGCAAATAAGCCTTCTTCAACCAATTTGGAACGATTTCTATGACGGATTACGTGTTAATAGCGCGAAAAATATCGCGCGTTAATTGTCCCAAATAGGCCAAAATGGCAAATTTTAAGCCCCCATAACTTTACGAAAAGTGATCACAGGTGAAATAACGTTTCAAATTCAAGCTCAGGCCAGCAATATTTTTTGAATGATGTAAAAAAATCCCGTCAAAAATGGCAATTTAAAAAATCAAAATTTGTCTGAAGAAAAAAACCACCCGGAGCACAAATATTCCCTTACTTTTGCTACAAAATTCGGAACAATAATAGTCTGTGTTGATATCCTTAGAATTGACTGTACTTAACAGCTGCTATTGATCATAATGAACACTTTCAATGAACACATTTTATCGCAACAATATTTGCGTCGCAATATTATTTGCGACTTAGGTTGGGAAAAAAAATAGTTCATACTATGACACAAGCATTGTTTGTGTAAATAAAGCGCTTAGAACAGGGTCGGGTGAAATACATGAATGAACATTAGATAGATACTGAATTTAAAAACATGCTTATTATGCTATTTGGGTTTAAAAACTGAACTCGTAATACAAGCAGAACAATAATCATTTAGAGCAAATAAAGAAGTACGCCTACAATACAACTTGTACTCAATACAAGGGCAGCGGAGCAAAGGTTCGCTTCATACTGATACCGCGCTTGAACTAATTGTGGTATTGTCATGACTAGATGTCCGATTTCGTTTAATTTAGTATTTGTTCGTTAAATTGACCTATTTTGTTAAGTTTATGTTGCTTAAACAGTTTGAAACTGCGACTAATCTTGCTAGAGTACACGCTCACAATCTGCTCTTTTCCGCTCTCCCACCTCGAAACTTCAATTTTAAAAATTACTTTAACGTTATCATAATGCAATGAATCTTGACATGGTGAACGAACTAACAATTGTGAACAGATTGTGAACAGAGATGGGGAAAGTGGAAGAGAGCGGAAAAACCATCCCAGCGGAAAAGATCAGAATTATTAGAACACGATTCAGAATGAGAGCGTCAGAAAAAGTAAATAATCATAGCCAACTGACATTTGCAAAAGAGTAATAATGAAAGCCAGAAAACTGAAAAAATCGACTTGTGTTTTCAAAGAGCCTTCACCTTTCGAAGAAAAAAAAGATTGCCTTAAAGCTCTTCGAATTTGAGAGCAATTTATGCTGGACATTTTTTTGTTAAAATTAACCTAATGTGAGAAAACCGGATCAATACGTAAAACTTTTATTTCCTTGGGAAATCTGATGATTAATTTCCATTTTAAAAATCAGAAGTCGGTCACGTTTTTCGTGACCTTTACAAATTTACTGTTCGATAGTGGAGTTTGTCTTCCTCTCAACAACAGAAATGCACTGCACTTAAAAAGAAATCACAAGTCAAGCTGCGAAAAATCAAAATTGAGCGTGAATAAATTTTAAGATTTAAAAAAAAAATCAGCAAGGCATATATAAGAGAACTCACTACGTTCATTACACTTAAACAGTGATATGGTATTTACTTTATATAATTAACCCAATATGAAAAATGCGTCAATATGTGAACTTATGCTTCAGCTGGATAATCTCAGGATTAAAAACTACTTTCGAAATTAAAATTCAATTACATTGTTTCGCAACATTTAGCAAATGATAAGGTGAGCTTGTCAAACCAGGAAATAGTTGGATTGTCAAACAACAATGCATCCAAAGATTATTTTAGTCGGAAAGGGTACACATAGCGAGCTCAAAATAAGCCAACAGCATGCAAAAAATGAATTGACTGGAAAAAACAGAATGGGGAAAATTGGATTGATCGGAAAAGTTTCCATTATACCCAAACCTTTGGAAGTAATTTTTAGCCAAAACAGCGAGAAGTTAGGAACTATCAATCCTTAAAAACACTTTCAATGTAACATGGCAACGAAAAACTTTCCCTTGATCCATTTTCTTAATATGTTCTCGTTCTATTCATTCTCGTTCAATTTAACAAATTCGTCTAAATTTCAATGTTTTATTCAGTTGAAAACACAATGTTCTTTTGCAAAAAAATGCTATTTGAGTTCATACACACAATGCAGTAGGAAATCAATTGAATTGACTATTTAACTGAAGTCAAACTTACGCTTAAAACAAAACACATCGTTCAGTAATATCTGATAAATTCAGCCGAGCAAAATACCTTGGACTTATCCTTTTCAGGAGCAAGAACAGCAGCATTAGCATTATCCTGGTTTCTGGCTCGCGGTCTTTGCTGCTGCTGTGCCTTCAGTGCCTGGTTGAACAACCGAGTCCTCAGAGGCACTGAGTGCATGTGTACCATGTCATTGATGGCAATAGTGAACTCCATTTCGCTCATGTAGCCCGGATCAGCACAGGGGAACTGACAAAGTCTAATTTCGCTCTGAACACAAGTTATTATCATTTTCAATTATCCGCGAGTATTTCTTTAGAAGTTCGGGATAGCCTAGCTTTATTAACGGCTTAGTTTTAGTTTTTAAAATTTGTAATCAGAACACTTGATAAACGTCGCTTAAAAATCAGGTTAAGCAAAAAACATGTGACAACTATTCAGGCATGTTTAGATTGAACTTTGATTTACCAAGGCAGGGCAGCAGCAGCCACCGGAAACATTTTACCGGGAAAAGCCACTGGAAAAGACTTGAAAAAATATGTCATCATTCTAACATAATCAAAAGCCCGCTCAAAAACAAAATTACTAAACGCTTTTTCTCTTTGTTCGTTTATGCCTGACAAGTTTCTCTTACAATTAACTTAAGAAAACTGGATGAAGAGTAAGGGTCTTTTATTCTGCTTGAAATTTTTTTTTTAAATCTTATTTTCATTCAAATACATTTTTTCATGCCATTCGTAATCCGTTATTGGAGAGCGTAGATTGCATTCTAGTTGCTGAAGGAAATAGAACACAAACTTTTGAAAAACATCTACCGTTAAAACAAAAAGATTTTTCGGAACCTTCGATTTTCGAAGAAAAAACATATAACGTTCAAGTTTTTTAAATTTCAAAAAGACTTTATGAACTAGGTCAAAAAGACAAAACTGGACAAATAGGTATTTACCTATTACGTTGAAAAACAAGAATTTCAAATCCGCTTTCGAACCTTCAAGTCATTCGAATAGGGGCCGTTTCCAGTTTCATAATTCGAGAGCTTAATTGCCTTTCCTTCGGCAAATGAGCTTCAATTGAATTTCAAATTCAAACTGCCAAAAAAGAGATCAAATTTTAGGACATTGCCTGAAAAAAAAACAAAAAAAAACCCACAAGATCCCAATAATGTCTTCACTATGTTCATTGATAACCAACAGCCAAAAAGTTAGGTATTTCTAAGCTAGCTATTCAAATGATGAAGTTTTGAAACAATTCAAGTCATTTCACAGACCGAATCGCTTCGCGAAAAATGAAGTTTACTTTATTCGAGCTATGAAATTTTGAAACATTTCAAGTTATTTCGTAGACGGAATCGGTCTGCTATAAATTAAGCTTTTCGGGGCATACATTGTTAATTTAAGTTGGTTCCTTTCAGACTGAAATGAATCTGTAACCGCAAAATTTTGGGCAAGAAATGGGCAGGTACTCTCTAGCCTTGAAGTAGAATCGAGTTCATCGTTCTTAAACGTTGAGCTGAATGATCGCTCTTAATCATGTCGCCTTACGGCAGCTAAAACATGGCATTGATTTTTCTGTCATTCATTTGATATATAGAATAAATTTGAAAAAATTAAAGAGATGAAAAAAAGACCTGATACCACTACTGCTTAAGCAATATTTCTGCTCGATTTTCACTCATATTTGCATGTCTCTAGTAAATTTTTTAATAGTTGAAAATTTTAGATAAGGAATTAGGCATGCATTAACTTTAGATCATTGACAGCTATCATTTTAACAATCAAAGGCTATTCCCAATTGTAGCTGAATCTCAATTATAACTTGTCTTCGGTTGGCGCGGCACCAGCTAGATCAGTACCCCGATAACTTTACAGAGGCTCAGCAAACAAAATAATATTGCATATTTGCTATATAAAAAATTGATACAAATCATCAAAAAATCTGCCAACATGAAAACAATTCAATATTATTCAGTGAATCAAAAATTTAAGTGATAAAAATGATCCCAAAATAAAATTTGAACAACAATCCATTTTTTGACACTTTGATTCAAAAAACTAAAGTTTGCAAATTAAACTCAAGCGAATTATTCATTTGTCAAAAAGAATAGGTTCAAAGGTTAGCCTTTACAAACGAGCGAAATCATATAAAATCATAATTCCCAAAGCTTCAGTTTTCAATGCTAAATCCAATTTTTTCAAGTCTTATAGAAGGCTTCATTTTCAAGGCTTATACAAACAAGGATAGACGGTTACTGTGCAAGTAGCACAGAATGTACCAACCAGTCTTGAAGATACAAAAAAATCAAAAGTGTTGTTTTTCTGCGCGGTGTCATAAAAAATGGTATGAACGAAAAACTAAAAGTTACGCATAATCGACAATCACAATAAAATAGGCAAAATAGGCAATAAAATAGGCAATAAAATAGGCAAAACCCGCATCCATTTGCATTCACTTTCAAAATGAACACATGTTGTCGCAACAATTGCATCGCAACAATATTTGCGACTTAGGTTGGAAAAAAAAGAAAGTTCATACTATAACACAAGCTATACTTGTGTAATGAGTTTTGAAAAACGCTATACCATTGTGGGGATTGAACCACATGCAACAAGCTTCTAAGTCCACTTTTAAACACAACCGAGCTACTGACGCTTAGCGAACAGAAACACTAGCCACTCATAAAGCGAGAACAAATAGTATTGAACTGTTAATTCTATGCGGTACACGATCCACTAAAACGAGCCTTATTTTACGCGATTTGGATTGAAAAAAGTGGACTCGTAGTATAACACAATGCTCGCAAGCTCGCTGGTGCAATCAGCTTGTTATCGCCGTTTAATTAGTTGGCCAAAAACTAACGTGGCTGATCCTGGGGTCTCTGTTCTTCAGAGTGAGATAGAAGAAGAAGTGCATCACTAGTTCTGCACTGAGACAGTTCTTGCTGAAGGACACATAATCCAACACCAGATTGTCACATTCCTCCGCCTAAACAAAAGAGGGGTCTATCATTCCCATTGAACCCACCTCCCCCTAAGTTTACTAACAAAATACCCATTTGTTAAAGCAAGATTTGCATTAATGTATGTTTTTTCATCTTGGATAAAAATCTTCCGGCTTAATGTGACATAACAATTTATCTGTAAAGATGAAAACTTTGGAAAGTGACAAGAAAAAAAGATTATCTTTTCCTTATTTACCCACAGCAAAAAAAGATGTTTCAAAAAACTTCGTACGAAACCCGCATCCATTCATGCGTAAAAAAGCCATACAAAGAACTCGATTCTGATAACTAACCGGCAGAAAGTCAAATGCGACATGTATGAGCCAGTAGAGGTCATCCAGACTAGTCCACTGGATGGACTTGATCAGCTGGCCCAGATGCACTAGGATCCTCAGAGAAGAGAAGTCCAGGTCACCACTGACACACTGCACCAGGGTCAAAAGTACCTGGAGAGAATCAGAACGGAATAGCAGTGATGCTTATTTCAAAAACAATTTTAAATTAGTTTAAATTTTTACTTAAAATGAAATGTAAAATAAAGAATCCACACATTAACGCCAACAATTTTTAAAACTTGCTTGAACATTTTAATTTTAAATTTTTTTTTCTAAATGGACATCACTGCGGAATAGTAATCGGCGGAGCCATACGTTGTGGTGGATATTTTGGTCTTTGGGTGGCGTCGTTTATAGTTGGAAAAATTGTTTATTATTTATAAAATATATATATATATATATATATATATATATATATATATATTTGACAGTTGAAAAATGGGCGCATGATGAATGTCTTAAAACAGTACCAAACGGGGACACTTTAGATGGCGTAGGTGAAAAAATATTTTCGTGGAAGCGACCAAAAACTATTTATGTGAATAATGTTTCCCCAAGCGAACTCGGTTAAACGATTCAATAGGGGGGGGGGGGATTTTCCACTCGGTTTTTTTTACTTGCTCCACTCAAAAAAACTTAACAACACATCAGCAATAATTTTTCTAACGCATTGTTTCAACTAAGTTTGCCAAATGTATATAATTTTATAATTTCAACCAATCAAAGGGCGCATTTTATTTTCTGCTCTCTTAATTTGATATTTACAAAGTCGGGCGGAATAACTAAAAAGAGCCGAGGCTAGTCGTGTCGTGAGGGTGTCTTACTATGTTATTTGCGGCGAAGTGCTGGAGTGAGCTGAAAAAGTCGAACAGAGTGAAGTGTGCCATTTTGGGGATGAGGAAGCGACTCTCAAACATACTGTACAGACTGTCCTATAACACAACACAAAACAACATCGAATATGGAAAAGCCAGCGCGATAATTTAGAGATAAATTATAGAAAACATCATAGCAAGCCAGGAAACTAAATATTGAGGAAGTGGCGATGGGAGTGGGGGTATATAGCAACAAAGCCCACCCCCCTCCCAAACTTGACCTCTTCACTTACCCAAATGGTTGTTACTCTGGTAAAATTTTATCATCTTACCGACCTTAAAGCTTTGGACTTTTCTAGTTACCTTTTCTCGAAACTGCAGAAAAAATTTTTTAGAAAATTTAGTTTTTCTTTGAAAATGATCTTTTTAAAAAAAATCATTGTGAACCCATGTCCTGTGGATAATTGTATGGGTTCAAGAAGCTGAAGTTGTTTTAAATTAGAGATCCTGAGAGTCTGTCTGAATTTCAGCGGTTTTTATCAAAACAGATGATGACGCACCACAATTGAAGGAATGTTTTCCACGTCCACTGATCTGTCAGTCCACAAAACCTGAGAGAGAAACTGTTCCGCGATACTCACGACGCGCTCCTGAAACAGAAAAGCAACCAAGTGAAGCGAATTACACCACAAATTGAACTGAAGAACAAACATTTATGAATGAGACTAGCCCCCCACCGGCTAACGACATTTTTTATGAGCCCCCGCTCCTGCTCAGTGCAGGACCAACCGTGGGGGAGGGAGATGCCATCCATTTCACCGCAGTCGGTCCCACCATGACGACAACAACGATGCTAACGGCATAAACATTATTGGCTGAAAAATTTCTTCTAGCCAATATCATCGAGAGCGTACAGAACCATCTGCAAAGAACGAATCAAAAACTACCGACCCCCGACAAAAACACCGACGACTGAATTCAAAATTTTATTCAAAATGGGTTATTTTTTATCATATTAACGAATTTAAGTGGTCCACAATTCCATATCTTGAGCTTTAATCGGGGCACCAGAATAAACTAAGCTCGTCGTGCATGAAATACCTAATACTCAATTAGGAACATTGACCCAGTAACGGATTTCAACAATTTCGATGCTAATTAAAAGGCATAACACCTTGGAGAAGGCATCACCTCGGAGATTTGTCGTGGAATAAGGCGTAGAGACCCACTAGTACGCTGTCTGAAGTCAGCCCAGATCCTCTCAAATTGTTCCGGCTGAAGAAAAAGACACTATGAAAGCTGCTTTCAAATTTCTATGTCACTTTCCTTCGGCAAAATTTTTTTTCCGTTTCTGATAAAAAGGATTTCTGATAATAGGACTCTATAGGTAATCCTATGTTACTTTCATGAAAACTGATAACATCAAAAGGGTTGATATAAATTGCTTTAAATAAATACAACTCGCCTTTAAAGACATCGAAATTCTGGTTATGCAGTTTTAAAACGAGCGTAGAAAAGGAAGGAAAACATCCCACATAATTATTTAATTCTCTGAAGAAAGAATGATAAACAAAAAATCTAGCATCAAAATCTATCGTGAGAGCTTCCCTTATGAACTTAGCAAACTGAAGCAACAAAAAAAAAACACATTTTCCTGTAAAAAGTCAGTTTTTTTATTCAATCGAAGTTCTCACCAGTTTTTGGGTGATGGGCGCCAGTCCCTCTTGTATGTCTCTGATTCGTGAGAAGTAGAGGGCATCGTCCTGCAGCTCCTCGACGTCTGCCTGGGACACCACAGCCACGCCATTGTCTCCCATTGACGCCTTGCTCTGCGACCGAGATCCTAACGAATTTAAACTCTTTTCCAATGTAGCTCTGCCAGCAAATTAAAAAACCCAACCCCATTATAACGAAACTCTTCTCTTGCGGACGATGATTTTTTTAGCAAGCTGAGATAGCAGGTCTTTTTGAAATAATCTTAACTATATCAGTCGAAAAAGCCGACACCACAATCTCGACTTTTATATTTGATTTTCATGCTCTCAAAAATTGGTTAACTCTTGCTCTTTTTAACTGTGAATGTCCAGGACCAAAAAACATCGAAACAGTTCCATTAATGTTCAAATTATCAGCAGATATCATGTAATGTAAAGTTATAATTCAATAACCTTGTTTGCAAAGATATCAGTATTTTCAATTGAACAAGCAATAGGCGCACAAATAGTTTTAAAGTATATCTTGAAAAAAATCTCAGCAGAAAGAACTTCAAACTGTTTCTACTTACCGCCTTCCGACCCATCCACTTTAGTAGCCTCAGTCTGCTCTTCTTGAGGAGGAATCTTTTTGTCTCCAGTTGTATTCTGCTGTGCGGCCTGCTTCAACTGTTTGCTGAACAGTGCTTCAATTTCACGGCTACAACAAAAAAGGCTCTTTTTCCTTCCCCTTTCTGCGGATTTTAGAGAGTAATTAAACCAGCCGAAGTACAATCCAACCGAAAATGCCCGGAGTATATAAGCCAGCCCAAAACTTACAACATATGAGTGAACTTGCTTAACTTTCGTAACTGTTACATAATTGTTACATAACTCTCACGTGTTTTCGACTAGTTGATACTTCGGATGGTTTTTACTTGGGCTGGTTTATATATCACCGAATTTTTACCAATAATTTTTCTGTTCACATTATCTCATAATTGGCACGTGAACTGATATGGCCATGACACGCTTATTTGGTCTTCATACTTAACCTTGTAACACCCCTCGTTACATCACAAAATTGATGCTTGTGTGAGGTGGGGAAGGGTGGGGAGAAAAAGAACCCATCCAACAAAATTACAGGAATCAAAAGTGTTATCAGTATTATTGCATGACACCAGTTTTTAGCCTACCAACACTCATTTTTTCTGAAGGCGCCAAAATTTACTAAAATTCAGAGTGAGGAGCGCGCCAAAGGGTCAGAAAACCACCCCCCCCCCCCCCCTTGAACGTTCCTGAGCACGCCACTGGCAGCATTCAAACTCGAATATTGCAAATAGACACTGAGAACTGATTCTTGAAACAAATACAGTGGTTAATATTAGTGACATCGCAACTTGATCGGTAAAAAAATAAACTTTTTTGGTTAATTATTTAATTATATTACTTAGACGGTTTTTACGTGCTGAAATGAGTGAAAAAATTGAATTCTGACGTCAAAATGAGCAATTTTATGTAAATATTTATAGTTCAAAATGGTTGATTGGCAGAAATTGATTTCACGTTAAAAACTGACTCGTCCAATTTCTTCTGCAGTTTGAGTTTCGGTCTGGATATGCGCAGCATGTGAGTGTTCGGAGGCAGGTCCACTACCCAATCCTGTCTCGCCACTTTGTGAGGACAGATCATCGTCTAAACAGATTACACTACATACATTAGCAAGAATAGCACAGAAGTTTCCGACCACCGTGCTTTAAGAAAAAGTTTCGAAAAATTTTTTTTCTCGATCTTCTGTGGTTTTTTGAGCGTTTACAGAAGAAGGGGCAAAAAGATGCTCGGACACTTAAAGCTGGATTCATTTAACTACAGTTCTTCACCAAAAACCACTAAAAAAACGAAAGCTAAATTTTTGCTTGATCGAAAAAAAACTTTTAAGCAACTGTTACTGTTTTAAGCAGCAAACTTAAATCATGCAGTAAAATAAAATGTTTCACTCTATGTATTTGCTTGCTGTACTCGCTGTAATTGGACTAAAAATCAGTTTTTTGTCGACACTTAGGAACCTTTTTGGGATTTTTCCTAAATCAATCCAATCACGCTTCGCGCCAATTACAATGCCAAACAAAGGAAGCTTTTCAGCTACCGGTCAAAAAATGAGTAGAAAGCCATTAATAATTCGTTTAAAAAATTGAATAAAAAATGTTGATAAAACTACATATACAAAAATTGCTAACACTTGTCTCGGAAGATGTTCGATTTGAGAAAAAACAAAGGCCGAAAAACAGAATCGTAATCGTTAAAACAGCTTTCAGAAACATATAGTAGCAATAAAGCGAATAAAACTGTGGTGAGCGCCAGTTGAGGCGAACTCAATTTTTTTAAATTAGCGTCACAAATCGAGATTTCTCGCTTATAACGTTAAGATTTTGATGAGTCATGTTAACTGAAATTCGAAACCTACCCAATTTCGGTCGAGACGGTCGATACATACCAATCATTGGTCGAAACAAACCAAAATTTGGTCGAGAATTTGAATCTCGCTTGAATCGAGCACATTTTTTTTCGATCTAGACGCTCATTCGAAAAAAATCTCTGACGCTCATTACCCGTTTTTTTTTTACTATTAGTGGTGATTTAAATTAATCGGACAAAAGGAGCGAAATTTGAAATTTCACACGCGTTTTTCTCAAGATGGGTTGTGATGTAAAAAAAAGGAACCGAACAAAACTTTATCACAATTTCTCAATTTTAAATGATCAAGAGTTACGTTGAAACTGCCTATTTAGTTGATGAAGAATTCATAAATCTCTTTGTGAGAATACATTTTTGTCTGATAGCCAAAAAAGGTGATTTGTACTACCTAAAAAATAAAATCTGTGGCTAAAAACAGAATTCAAATGTTTTACGCACATTTTTCAAAGTTTCATTCTTCTAAAACTTTGTTGAGCTATGTAAGAGTCTTCTTTCGATATAATTTTTTCATCAATTACCTCGGTAGTTTCAACGTAATTCTTGATTACTAAAAAAGCCCAAATGATCCATTTTTGGAATGAAATTTTGTTTGAGAATTTCGGGAAAAAAAGTGCACCATGTTAATCTGTTGAAATTTTAAGCACCCCTTTTTCGTATGATCCTAGCCCAAAAAAAATGCGTTTGAAAATCCAAATTTAGTCCGGTTAACTCGAATCAGAACAGTAATTAAAAAGCTAATGCTATCAAACTAATGAGTAGCAAAAAGTTCGGCCAGACACAATCAATTTAAGAAAGCAGTTGACCAATTTTAGAAAAAAATTTCAGGCAAAAGCCTACTTTTCAGAGTAAATCTGTGTCTCAAGGTTAATTGAAACATCAAAAAATTGCATGCTAAACTGTACAAAAGAAAAGATTGCTCTTTTAAACTAATTATGCAACACTATTTTTAACTCTATTTTCAAGACACTTACCGTGGTTCCACAAGAGTTGCAGAGTGAGTTCTGCGGCAGTTCGTAGAAGGTCTTGCCTCTGTTGTTTGAGAAGTAGATGATGGAAGAGTACTTGCTCGTGATCTGCTCTTGGGCGTCCAGCTTATCAAACACGGTTTCCATTGCCTCCCTCTGAGCAGCCGTCATGGGAGCCTCCTTGTCTTTGTCCTCAGATCCTTTCTGCAGTTTTTTGAAAAATGAACCCAACAAATATAAGGAAAAACGTCATAATTTAAGCGGGGAACAGAACCACATTAATTGAAATTTCGGGAAAACTTTTTAGGTCATAAAGAATGATGACTGGTACTATTTCGTTTCGAAAACACTATGATAAAAGGGCAGTAAGTTGAACAATGTCGGTTTTTATAGAATTGCGGCATGAAAATGCATAAACTAAATAAATATTTCGAAATTTTTCGAATTTTCTATAAATACAAAAAATTGATTTAACTTTTTTGAGTTTCTTGAGCCTAAATTGAAGCTAGTTGCCAGCAATTGAGTATGTGTATAAATATTTACCTTTTCTTGTTTATTTGGCCCGCCCTTTTTGTCCTGTTTGCCCCCTCCCCCTCCGGCTGGGGCCAGATCCCTGGCCTTCTCCTCCTCCTCTAACTTGATCCTGTCTCTGTTCACTTCCAGGTTCTCCCGATGGATGCTCAACATCTCCAACTCCGCCTCCACGTCTTCGATAGTTCGACGGAATACACGCTGCTTCTCCGCTAACTTCAAACGAGAAAAAGTCTGTTTAAAAACACTGAATTTATAAATGCTTTAGTTTTTTTTGACAGCAACGCTTGATCAATAAAGGGCAACTGAAACCTCTTAATAATTTTGACAATTTCCAGAAACGAATACGTAGTAAATTTGGCTGGTTGCTTAATGCATGTGATAAATGTAAGATTTAAAATGATGCAGTTCAATTTTTGATTTATGATCTATCGGCTTATCAATTTTAGGTACATAAGGGAGAGTTCAGTTCGTAGGGGTCAAGTGAGGTATCAGATTAAAGCTCACTTAGTCCGGATTCGGTTCGGATTCCATAAACAAGACTTCAAACAATGTATCAAGTGTCGAGAAAAACTGGTCTACATTTTCACATTGTCCAAAATAAATCACACGAATATTGTGAATGACACCATGAGAGACTGAACTCACAATTTATATATACTGCAAATTTCAAAGTATTTAAGCTATTATGACTTGTCAATATGTCATTATTGCAGTTTTTTTTATCTATTTCAATCGCTTTCTACTGGAAAAACTACAGAAAACTTGAATCTTATTTTTGCGTAAAAACGTTTTTCAGCTTTAAAAAAATTCTATTTTTAAATATATGTGTTTCAATCATTGAGGTCAGTACATTATCTGCTACTTACACAGCAAGCGACTATCCAACGCAATGTAGTACACTTTAACTTATTACCTTTTTCGATTGTATTCAGTTTTAATTATTCGTCTTTGTATGTGATAAAGATACAAAGTTCCGCTTAGTCATATCATATCTCTTTAACTATTCTCCCCCTTTTTTGCAAAACAGGGAAATTCGCTAAGAGGCACAAAATTCAGATGTGCTTAACCCTTGAATTAATTATTTATTGGGGTGGCCATTCGTTACTAGGTACCCTAGGGGGGGATTGTTAAAGAGATCCGTCAAATCTTGTCTTGAAACGAGAGTGCTTTCAGATGTCGAAGGACAGGATGAGAAACCTGACCTCGGTGTCGACCTCTGCTAGGAACTTCTCGTCCTTCTCGTAGCTGCCTTTATTGTCTCTGAAATTCTTGGCTAGATTTGCACTCTCCATTTTCTCCCTGTACTTTTCCATGTGCTGGTCAAACTCTGAAATACAAAACTCGATCCTAATTTTTTTTTGTTTTTTTTTTGGGTCAATGGAGGTGCATCCAAGAAACATTTGAAAAAAATTTAAACTAAAGAATTCTGACGACTGCTCTGAAATTCCGAATAAACTATCTGAGATCTTCTCGAGTTGTTGCGGGATCTATCTACACTACAACATTCAACCAGAATATTATCAGAAACAAATCCGATCCCAGTTATAATTACTAGCATAAATAAAAAAGAAACTTTAATTTTACCAAAACTCAATAACTGATCCCAATGAGAGCAAGGTGCTTCAAAAAACTAATTGAAGAAGAAAGAACAAAAAAATATTAGTAAAAACAAGCAAACAAAAATAAACACCGACATTAAAACAGAAAAAAAATATAAGACACAAGCAAAAAATGGCACTCAATTGCTTTGAATTGAATATATTATTATATGAAAAAACTTTTTGAAAAATAGCAAGTAAAAATAGTTGACACAAAGGCGCTGCAAGCTGCAATTTCTTTGTCCGCAAAAACCAGTCTCTGCTCTCGAAAAATATTTGATACAGGAGGCATTATTTGAAGCAGCTTCAAAGCTATTGATGCCTTTTGCCCAAATTAAAAACTAAATTTAACATTCGATCATTTTGTTAAGCAATAAGGGTTCTAAACTGCTAATTTGGACCTACGCTTCCAGCCTTGAAAAAGTTGATGTTGCGAGAACCCGACAAAAAGCAGCTCTGTAAAAAGAATTTAGAAAAGGAGAAATAAGCCTCATAAGTAAAACTTTTGCCACGTGTCGGATTCGAAACTTTGACCTCGAGATTTGGAGTTTCACGCTCTCGCAATTGTCCCACTAGCTCTTCAAAGGTTAGGAATACTAGTAACAATTTTTTCTAGATCACTTATGATTGCAGTATTGCCGAAAATGTTTTTAATATAATAGTACATTGATCGTTCTTTTTTTTATTAGTCACCAACGAGGCAGCAAAAGATGCTAATAAACTGCCAATACCATGCTGCAAAAATAACACAAAAAACTGAAAAAACTATTTAACCATTTCTAATTGCCATTTAGGTAGAAAAAAGCACAGTGAATAGAACATGAGACGGATATAGCTAAGTTTTTTTCGGAAAAGAAGAAAATTCAATTTCACAAAAACAGTCGAGAACTACAATTACTGGCATTAAAAAGGATGCTATAAGTTAGACGCCAATTGAGCCAAATTAATTCAGATTCGCTTCAGGGTAGTCAAATATTCAAGTCATCGCTCTGATGCGAGAAGTCTTGCCCGAGTTGACCAAAACTTCGCATCACTTGCGATAAAGCACCAACATAAATTTTCGTATGTGAAGGAAAAACTTCGTATGTCACGAAGAACCTGTCTGATATTGAATGAATTTACTATGCTAATGCGGAACGAAAAATGTGATTTCAAAAAATTGGATTTGCCGAAAACCATAGTTGTTTCTCTAACTACTAAAATAAGTGAGAAGAGTAAAAAAAAATTTGGGATATTCATTTCTACCGAGGAGATAAAATTTCTATTATCAAAAATAAAAAATTCATGGTTTCTGCAGGAACAGTTATCGCAACCCGTTTTTCAATTGAACTATTCATTTCAGATTTGATTTTGTATATTAATGGAAAATTGAAAAAATTTCTAAAATCGGTCAAGAGTTCTAGAAAAAGGGTCAAAAAAACTTTCCAAAATTAATAACTTTGTTCTTCAAAAAGCAGAAAATATTCCCAAAACCGAGTTTCTCGATTGAACAGAACCTGATAATTGGCACGGTAGTTTTCGCGTAAAGTCAAAAAATTTCCAAACAACTGTTAGCTTCAATTCTTTGATTTGTTGGAAGGCCATAACTTTTTTCTTTTAACAACCTGTTGCTTCGATTAAATCTATGATATCAGTTTTGGCATGATAGCAAGCAATAAAAGTCCAAAAAACGGTCAACAAATAAAAAATTTGACCTTTCCGAGAACCATGGCTTTTTACTTGAAACAATAGGACGTAGCCGCTTATGGAGAACGGATTCACGCAACCTGTAGTTTCCATGCAAACCAAAATGTCAGATTTGGGAGGGTAGCTTTCGAGAAAAATCAAAAAATTAAAAAAAAAACGCTCAAAAGATCTAAATTAGACTTTTCCGAGGGCCATTACCTTTGGTGTCAGAAAAATTTGGGCGTGGGAGCATAGAAAATGAGCTTCCCGCATCCCGTTCTTTGAACTGAACCTAAAACCTCAAATATGGCAGGGTAGTTTTCGAGAAAATTCAAAAAAATTTAAAATACTGTCAAAAAAATAAAAAATTTGGCTTTTCCGAGGGTGATAACTTTATATGTAAAAAACTTTGTGAGTGACCGCTAATGCAGGTGAGCTTCCCAATAACCATTAACTCCATTGAGCCCAAAATTTCAGATTTGAGAGGATAGCTCTCGAGAAAAGTCATAAACTTATTAAAAAAGGTCAAAAAATCAAGGGAGCTTTTTCAGGGAGCTTTTTGAAACCTTTTTATTCATTGAATCCAAAAATTCAGATTTGAAAGGGACAGTTCTCGAAAAAAAATCAAAAATATGAGTCAAATATTCCCACACAGACTTTTTCAAAGGCTGTAGACAAAGGGGTCAAGTAAAAAGAGATTCTAAGGGAGTATGCAGACACACAAAAGAGTGGGCAATCTTTCAATTGATAACCTTTTTTGAAAATCAGTCCAAGAAAAACTAAAATTTTTCCGATGTTTGGAAACAACTTTCCATAACAAAAAAAAGAACTTTTAACAAACCGATTGGTAAACATACAACTAAACTGAAAAGTGCGGAGGGGAGTATTTAAATTGTGTTTCCCTTGAAACAACCCAAAATTAGATCATTAATACGATAAAACATAGGCCGAAAAAATTTGGGCCGAGGAATTTTGTCAGCGAATCACAAAAAAAAGACAGAAATACGAAGTCAAGACAAATAAAATTATAAATTTTAGTAAATAAAACAATAAAAGCAACATTAAAAAACATGCGCGCAGCAAAAAAAAGATTTTAAGATGTGACAACTACGCCGACAACAGATAAGCTGACAAACAGTTGACCAACAATTTTTATTTATAACAGAACATTTCTAATTTAAAAAAAGGGGTCCTGGTCAGATTCGAACCCAGGACCTTTGCTGTCCCACGGATATTCGTTACCGCCACGGTAATTTGGCCAGGAACACATAGAAGTTTGAATTTATTATGAATCTTTAAGTAATTCTGTTAAACAAGTTGTTAACCCGAAAAAAGTCTATATTCCGGTTTTATAACGGTCGCTAAAGGCAAGCGTAACAATACAATTCTATACGTACACAAAACTGTATGAAATCTCTATGATAAGCATTTTTGTGCATATGAAAATTGTATGACAAGTATTTTTGGGTGACATTTTTTTAAGATTCTTTTCGTGCGTAAGCGATCACAAGTGACAAAGATCTTGGTTTACTCAAAGCTATAGTCACCAAGAGTTGAACGCTCTTGCACTTACAAGGCATAGGAAACAAACGGAATTGTCTTAGAGTTGTCTTACAAAAATGATATATCGAAAGTAACAAACTTAAAACATGAAAAAATTCGAAGTTTTAATTAATCAGGCATTGATCATGGCATAAATAAACATGCCATACAAAATAAATGGGCGTTTTGAAGATTTCGAAAAAAATTATCCGACAAAAACAAAAAAACAATCTTGCATCCAGGACCACCTTCTGCACACAAAAAATCAAAATTTGCAGGCAAAAAAAATTGTGGAACACGTTTGTTTGAGTACAAAGTTCGTTTTGCGGTTAAAAAATGAAGAAATTTTGGTTGTCGCCATCAAAAAATGCCTTCCATAAAATTTCCATATATGAGAATAGTATGACAAGCTTTTTTCCAGACAATCAAATTTTTCGACGTTCATTAAAATTCACTGCTTCGTCTGCCATTTATTCTTACATTTTCGACGATTTTTTCCATAGACTTGATGTATGGAATTGCATGATAAACTTTTTCGGTGTATGGAATTGTAGGGTAAGTATTTTCGATGTAGGCAGGTCAACCCGGGTGGTTACTTTGAATCAATTTGGTCAGAAATTTTTTGGGGATAAAATTTTGGGCAAACTTCAGCTGGAGACATTTTTTCTTCAGAATTCTTCAGCATTAAAAAGCCATTCATTTTAAATTTGGAGTTGCGTTCATCAATATCGTCAACTCACGACGTTTCAAAAGATCCTCCATGTATTATAATTTTTTATACAGAGGGGAAGCTGCGCTTCGCAATCAATTGCGAGAACACGACAAAAAGCAGCTTTATAAAGCTAAAAGAAAAAATAGAAATAAGCCTCGAATTAGCATAACTTCGCATCGTATCGGATTCTCACTCGGCCATGAACACTTAACAACCCACAAACAATAGTCCCACATAAAGCAGCTGCATATGGTAATAAATTTCTAATGCTATGCAGCAAAAGTGGCAACAAATACAAAAAGACATATTTTGGTAGGTAATAATTTAGAATATAAAAAATTGAAGGCATCCACGCTATTTTTGCATGTAATATAATCGAAAGCATATAACCAAATTATGTATAAGTTAAGCATTTCAAAAATATTGCAAGATATATTGAGTTGAACTAGAATGCTAATCGAACTACCATCAACTGTGTTAATTTATAAGCGCCTTATGTTAGTAAAAAGAATAGTCGTACTATAACACTACCTCACTTAAGCTCGCAAGTGTAATACAAGAAATAGAAAAATTAAATCTAAACATCAGCTTTGCTTTGTTTGCGCAAGATTTAACCAGCATGCATTCTAACCAGAATTCAAGCATGCTCGTATTATTGTAAATTGTTTTATTTATAATATTAGCCTACAATGAGTATATAAAATAGAGATTTACCCTCAATTAAGGAGTTCTGTACAGTCAGTAGCTGGCGCTCTAGAGCCTGACACGATTTTAGGTCAACCAACACACTATTCTAAACAAGAAACATTGTTTTAATTGCCGGTTAGCGGTACTAGTTTACTTGTTTGGTCCCCGTAAGAAAACTAATTTAGATGAATGGCCCCGCCCATTTCCGAAAAACAAAAGCAAGCGCGGGATTCGTTCGTGCCTTCTAACTTACTGTGATATAGAGATAGGCATCGCAGCATTTTGACCAGAAACGAGTAAACTAGTTCACGGTTAGCCATTATGAACTTTAATTAGTTGAAAACCGCTTTCGAATTAATATTTCGATACAAAAAAAACTAAGATAACACAATAGAAAAAATATAGAAAGACAACAAAATCAATGTCCATTAACACACTGATTACGCTATTCTAGTAATTCATTCATAAATCAATATAGATATCATTGAAAAACTTCCTCGTAAAGAAAACGATGAGGGCTATTCTCATGGACGAATTACCGAAGGACTCATGCGCGAAGGGTCGAAAACAAAAACAGTCGAAAGTCAATTATTACACAGAGGCGAAGCTTCGCAAACACTAGCGAGAACACGACAAAAAAGCGCCTCTAAAGAATGCAATGAGAAAAAGTAGAAATAAGCCTCCAATTAGAAATTCGGCTGTCTGAGCTTCGAACCTACGACCTTACAATTAAGAGTCTCACACCCTAGCCACCCAGCCACAGAAGCTTAATAGGTAATTGCCAAACTCTAGTGACAAATAAATCAGAGAACTGAAATCTGATTGGCTGATTTTGATTTTCGTCATTCGCCTTTGAGTGATTCCACATAAAAGATATCTAGCAATAAAGGTATGAGGCAACTAAATTTCTAAACAGAATATTTCTAAAAAATAATATCCTAAGAAACCAGTTAGAAAATACTTGGAAACAATTAGAAATTAGCGAGAGAGCCGATTGAGCAGTCAGTTAGCTATTAGTTTGAACAGCGTTTTGTTTACTTTGTTCGAAGCGGGCACGATTTGGGCGGGCATCTTGTTTATCTGCATTTCCTCTGCTATGAAATCTGAAGGCGAAAGAAAAAAAATCAGATATTTGGTTAGCTTTTTTTTCCTATTTTCTAAGGTTTCAGCAATTACCATTGAAAATGTTTTATGTTTTTGTCACTCCCAAATAACACTGGTACGTTGAAGAAAGAAGATTTTGATTCAGTCAAGGCGAAATTATCTGTCCAAGGCAAAACTTTCACTTTTTTATTTGTTAAATCAGGGCAAAATTTCAACTATCTTTTTGGCAATTATGTGCATTTGCCGTTTTTAATTAATTTTCAACACTATTTTTATGGTGTCAGAATTTTCGTACTTTCTGCATAATAACGGTAACTCAAGTTAAACTTACCATTGTCTAGTTCATTGTAGAGAGTCTCGAACTTTTCAATTCTTTCCAGCTCCATAGATGTCGAATTCAGTTCACTCTAAAATATCAAATAAGATCACATTTCGAAACAAAAATGAACCAGCTTTGTTCATCCTTGCTCTTAACTTGAATTTGAACAAAACTTCGACAATTTGAATACGACTCCGACATCAAAATTACCTGCAAATTGAGAATTTCGTCTTCGTAATGTAGATCCGAAATGTCCTTTTGAGAAACAAACTCCTTAAAGCTGGAGTCTAATCTAAAATAAGCGAAGAGGCTTTTCTTAACAATTTTTAACATTCTTAACAATAAGATTTTTAATATAAGGTACTTTCTAAATCTATTTTCATGTTTAGGGGTTTTTCCATATTTGGTGAAATTTTGTCATCGAACTATCCGGGATTCGATTTCGGAATCTTTTTTCCAGCCACAAAAACAGCTCATCATAAGCAATACGTCTTTTTAGCCAGGATCAGCTCTATGATTTTCCCGTTTTTTTTCTTCAAAACAAATATTTATCTTGTCGACTTTCTTTGAGACGGATACAATTTTTTCCAAGCTCTTGATGTAAAATTCAAAGCTTACTTGGTGATGGTATTAGTGAGTTGAACCAGCTTCTGTTCAAGGTCGCTTTTTTCTGCAGATAAGTTGCTGACGTGTTCATTCAAATCTGCAACCTGATTCCGACATCCTTCCAAAATACTCTCTTTCTCAGACAGGCTAAAAAGAGAAGATACATACTTTGAGCGTCTTCAATAAAAAATATCATTATTTTTTCTAAATCAAACACAATCACCCAACCTGTGTCAAAAAATATCTTGCTCAAATACTGTCAAAAGTGAGCTTCGAAAAGCATTCGCCATTAAGAAATAAGTCAAGATAATTTATCCACGCAAGAAAGGACCAATATCCACGCTCATAGCAAAGAACTGCCCTCGTCCCCTGGCTAGGAATTAAATTCATTGTTTTTGGTTAATTTTCTTGGATGGGTACGGTTGCCTGATCCTCGAGTATGGGCCTCGAACCTCTGACCGTTCGATTGAGAAGCAGAGACTTAACCACTTCAGCAGCGTTCCCCAAGTAACTCTTGAAGTTTGATATTTGAAGAGGGATTATCAAAAAAGGTAAGTGTCTCGGGATTCATTAGAATTCTATACCAGCTGTTCAAATTTAGGTCAGATTTGATTCACCTGTCTTGAAGAGATCCAATATAAGACTGAAGAGATTCCGCCTTCTCATCTCTGAAACATCAAAAATACAATTTCACCAAAAGCAGTTTATCATTCAGTGAAATAATTATGATTAGAGCTCCTTGGATTATTAAAGAAAACCGATATCAAACCCCAAAAACATAGCCAATCGAAGATTGGAAAAGAGTAATGAACGCAAGTAAACAAAAAAAATCTCTTTGAATTTTTAGAACAATTTATGATTGGCGCTTTTTTGATAACATGAACCCAACTTGAGAAAACTGGATCAAAAGGTAAAGTTTTTATTCCGCTGGGAAATCTTTAAAAAATTCCACTTTCTTAACTAGAATTCGTTCACGTTTTTTCGCGCCATTTCCACGCTCGTATGTGGAGAGTGCTATTTATATCACTTTCAGCAGATGAATTTCAATTGAACTCAAAAAGTGCATATATACATAAGTGCATCAATATTTTAAGACTTTTTCCTGAAAAAAAAAACAAAAAAATCAGCAAGACCTATTTAAGAGTCTTCACTACGTTAATTACTCTTAATCAAGAAACCGCTAAACTTTTTCAGTAGTGGGGATGCGATATTAAATAGATACTTTTAGTAAGTTTTTTTCAGTTCTTCAGCACCCAGTTTGAAAATACGATAATAGATCGATTCAAGTATCAACTCTATAAGAATGCTCAAATCAGGATGAAGCCATTAACAAAATGGTTCCATGACAATCTACCGGTTTTTGTTTTAAATTTCAAAATGAGAAATGTTAACTTTTTACTTAAAATCCCCCGCAAATCTGATTACAATACTGTTTCATGGTTATTTTAGCCACTCTAACCCAAATGCTGAAGTGATTTTCAAACAGAGAATAAAAAAAACAGCAAAAAAATCCACATTTTTCCATAAAATACTGATCGTATTATTTAGCGCTACTTTTACAATAACCAGTTGCTCTACTTGCTCTAAATTAGTATGACTCTTAGTCTTAACTTCTATTATGTAGGAAACAAACTGTTTTTGTCGAATTCAAGTAATTGCATTTAAAAACTGTTGAAAAACTCACGCAGAAAGGGGATGAGAAACCTCTTTTATTTCCCAAAGTATCATTTCAAGTACAAATGCTACACAGAGGCGAAGCTGAGCTTCGCAACACTTTCGATACAACTTTGATTAAAATGAAACCGAAAAATTTTAAAAAAAAAATTTAAAAAATTGTCAATAAAAAAGCTACCTCAAACAGTTGTTTAACCTCTACGCCAGATGCACCGAATGTTTGATTGAATTTATAAAAACCTTGTAGTAACAAAGCCGAAAACCCCTGAGCAGAAACTTTTCATGCCGAACAAAAAATATTTTAATCTAATTTAAAAACCTTATGTCATTTTTCCCATCAGAGCACATGCAAGCACACAAACTTTCTTTCAATCCCCGAACGATGCAATAAGAGGCCACTAGGTCGATATAAATTAAGCCGAAAATTATTAACTCGATAAAAAGAGAAAAAAATGAAAAAAAAAATTGGGAAATCGAGTTGGTAAAATTACAATCAGTATTAAAAACAAATTTCGTTTCCTTCAGATTTTTAAAATGCTGAAACACTTGAAGCAATTACAACGAAAATTGTTTATAGCAAAAAAACGATTGTTAAATCTGGCAACTAAGCCGACGAAACATAAGCAGACAAATAAGTGTTCTTTTGATCTAAATGTAGAAATTGGTCAAGTTGATATTTTTCAGACAGAATAATTAGGAGCATAAAGAGTCTTTATAAGAGATGAAAATGTTTGTTTTTGGTTGAATAAGAAAAACTACTAAAATATAATTGTTGTACAGTGTGGGAGCAATGAAAACATAGCCAAATGACAGTTGAAAAAAAAGTAATGAACGCAAGGAAAAAGAAAGAAAAACAGACTTTTGCATCAAGCACCCGAAAACTTTCGAATTTTAAATAAAAAATATATGCCCTTAAAACTCTTTGAATTTCACACACAACTTATGATTGGTGTTTTTTTGATGAAATTAACCCAATTCGAGAAAACTGGATCAATAGATAAAGTTTTTATTTTGCTGGGAAATTCAAAAACAGAATTCCAATTTCGAAACTAGAAGTCTATCACGTTTTTTGCGACCTTTACATTTTTGCTGTTCCATTTTTGAGTTTGCCTTCTTTTCAAAAAAGGAAATGAAGTGAACTTGAAAAAAAAACAAAAGTCAAATCGCTAAAAATCAAATTTGAGCGTGAACAGACTGGGAAAAGAGCCTGGGAAAAAAAAACAAAAAAATATCACCAAGACCTAAATAAGAATACTCATTACGTTCATTACTCTTAACAGAACATTTACCTGAGAATTTATGGACCTGAGAATTATGCGTACCTGGATCTGACCAGATTGTGGTAAAGAGTGAAGTACGACTGGTACTGTACAGGGGCGGCTGTTCCTCCTTGCTTCGTGTGGACTGACATCGAAGCATCAGCTGAGACTGTCAACTCCTTACTGAACACGGATTCTAGAAACATTACAATTAAAAGACAGGTGCGGGCAAAAAGACGACAGCTGTTAAGACGACAACCGTTTTCAGAGGACTTCAGGACGACTCTACAAACAATTCCCCACTTGCATTTCTCAGAAAAATAAATCGTTTAATACGAACAGCTCATTTTACATAATTATCAATGCTCATTTGAAATTCTAAAGTTATGTCTTCTTAATGGCCTGTCGTTTTTTTTTACCTAGCACCAGAAAGATATTTAACCTTAGAAGCACCCTAGATACTTCTATATCGAGTCCCACGCCCGGTATTTGTTGTTAGTAGCGAGTTGTCGAATTACGATTGCGCAGCGACAGTTAATTGATTACTGCACAAGAATTCAACAATTCACAGATCGGTTATTCGCCCATCTCTATGATTCCTACTCGCTCCTTGACGGCAAGGAAAAACTCAGCAGCGCCCAAACAACACACATAGACCTTAATAGAGGGTCCCTGCAAAAATTCGAGGAAACCTATAAAAAGACATAAGGCTGTTTACCCTTTTATTCATGCACATATGGTGTTGGTAAAGTTTCATAGAGGAGTGCCTGTAAGTATTACAGATAGGTCCGATATCACACCAATTCTTATCAAACACAACAATTAAGCAAATCAATAGACGCCGATCGGTTGTTTACAAAAAATGGTCTCAAACATAATCAACCTGCGTCATTGCGCGCTTTAATGACTTATTGTATGTTTTAATAGAGAAATTACCAAAGCAATAGCTTGAAACATACAGCACTGTATTTATATTTGGGACCGTTTTAGTTTCTCGGGACCCCTCAATCACAACTGTACCATGGGTCTTAATTTACACACCGAGGCGACGCTGCGCTTCGCTGACACCAGCAAGAACACGAAAAAAAGCAGCTCTATAATAAAGTAAAATACGAAAAAGTAGAAGTAAGACTGAAATTAGTTTAATAAATTCTGCCATAGGACGGATTCCAACCTGCAATCTAAAGATAAAGACTCTCACACCCTAACCTCTCAGCTACGGACGCTTATCAACCGACAAACACTAGCCACAAATAAAGCAGACAACAGATGCTATGAAATTTTTACTCATACAGATCTGATTATAGCAAAAGTGCCAGCAAATGAACCCTTTTATTTCCGAGTTAGCTTGGAAAAGAGAAGGTTCATATTATTACACTACGCTCATGAGCTCGAAGTGTAAAAAATATATATCGTGGTGCTGCGCAAATATCAAATTTTTTTCAAGGCAAACACAATTGGGATTTGCGCCTATAAACACAATTCAAAAATCGATAAACATAGCCAACAGTTGAAAACCAAAAACCAATGAAAGCAAAGAAAAAGAAAAAATCGGACTTGATTTTCAAATTTTTCACGGAAAAAAACGGCCTCAATAACTGTCTTCACTCCGCTCTTTGAAAGTTAATAAAAAAATTCCTATTAAAATAATTTTTCTTATAAACTCTTATCTTGAATTTAAAAAGCAATAGATATGCAAATGCTTTTTAAGCAGATGTAAACAACCGTACTTTTATAGACAAAAACTTCAAAACATAGCCAGCAGACAGTTGGAAAAGAGTCAGTGAGCGCAAGTAAACAAAAAACTGACTTACTTTTTTTAAAAAAAAAACGTGAACTTCAAATTTTTAAGTAGAAAATATATGCCATTCAAGCTCTTTGCACTTCAATAACAATTTATGATTAAAATTTTTGATAAAATTAATTCTATTTGTAAAAACTGGATGAAAAGGTTAAGTTTTTATACCACTGGGAAATCCTTATTTGTTATCGAAATTAGAATTCAAACGCGGTTTTCGTGACCTTGACACTTTTGCTGAACAAAGTGGAGTTTGCCTTCCTTTTAACAAAGGGCATAAACCTCGACTTCAAAAAAAATCAAAAATCAAACCGCGAAAAATCAAATTTGAGCTCAACAAAAATATATCACGACCTAAATAAGACTATTCGCTATATTCATCGACTATGAAAAAACCCCTTAAACTTTTAAAAGAAAAAAATACGTCAACTTATTCTAGGCTTCAGGAATCGGTCCACCGATATCCAGCGTAACTCGCACTTGCTTTTATCACTAAACAACTGATCCGTAGATTATAATGACTTAGCCCATGCACTATTCTTAGGCACCAAGACCCCAATACCTCACTTTGAAAGAACGGTTATAGCTAGATTATGCTGTTGAATATGCATAAACTTTGAACAAAACTTGGCACTAGCATGTGCGATTTTGAGAGAAAAAACTGGACTGATACTATAACACTAAGCTCAGTAAAGTCGGCTGGCTTGAATAGATTCCAAAATTACCAACAAAATTACCAAAAACTTAGAAACAGTTACGCCGCATAGTCCATTTAAATCGCATTCGTTGAAACACATGCAAGCAGAATGAAATGTAATTCAATACTCGATAACAACTTAACAAGGCTCGAATTGGTAACTGTGCGAAAAATATCCTTTTTCGGAACAAAATTAGACGCTTACAACACACCTTCAGTTGTTAGATAGTATAATGCTCAAATAACCATATCAACCTTATCAGAACAATTAATGCCAAAATTGGTCAATTATTTTAGTACCAACTAATTATTCAAGGCCAATGAAGACGATTTGATACAATAGCAAGACTGCTAGCATCATGGGGAATCCCTGAATGTTCCAACTGCTCTTAAACATCTTTAAAGCATTCGTAAGCAATTGAAAATAGCCAATTGAAAAAAGTTGACAGGGCAAAATATCTCGCGTATTATTTTCCCAAAATTAGCCAAATCGGCCATTTTTTTTAACCCCGATAACTTTTCAGAACACAGTCACAGGCAGCGAACAATTTTGAATTTCACCTAAAGGCATCACTGGTTTTCACCTGGTACAAAGACGTTTAAAACTACCTAGTTAAAAAGTCGAAATTGTTCTGGATAACAAAAAACTAGCATGAGCACAAATATTCGCGCACGTTCCTCGAAAGTCGGAACAAAATAGCTCATGGTATTTTAAGTCGCCGAATAGAAAACAATAGCGAATGGTGATTTAAAATTAGTGCAGAAAATATTCGTACTAAAATGGTGCAGTGAAATGGGCAAGTTATATTGAAAAAAGACAAGATAAATAATTATGATAAATACGAAATTCAATCTTAGAAAAACAGACGAGAAACACAAATAGCATCGAGTTGAGTGATTTGTTAAGTCAAGTTCAGTCGTAATTCAGGTTCAAAAAAACTTGCCGTTTGAAGTAAATGTGCCTGAATTTTGCCGTTTGAAGTAAATCTGCGGATAGGATATAGATGACAAAGGATATGACATTGGCTCCCAATATTTCTTTACTATTTCAATATTTTACAAAGTTTTTTACACTTGCGAAAACCAGAGTTATTTTTCTTCTATATAAATTACTCAGCTCGATGCTATACGATCCTATATTAGACATATACATTATTTGTATGAAAACTTGATTACTCAAAAATATGAAAAGAAAATTAAAATTGCAGTCAGATCATTGGAGAATTAAAGGATTATAGTTAGTTTCTATGATTATGCCATTCAGATGTTCTGGCATACGAGATCAAATCCCACCTAAGACTGAACATTTGGCAGCATTAGCATCACCGCCAGCAGCAATACCCCTCCCATACCAGGTAAGAAAATTAGTAATTGATATTTTCAAACTGATTTTTCAGGGATAAAATAAGTACTTGATTTGCAAAAGTTCTTTTTACAAATCAGGGTATTATACAACTATAATTGAGCTAAATAAGAAAAATGGATGCTTACTGTGTAGCTCGGAGAAGATCAACTCAAACAGGGCCTTATGCACTCCCATCTGGGGAATGAGTTCCCTCATCAGCTGAAAAGCGGCCTGCAGTCTCTCCTCGGTAATGACGTCATCACCAGATTTAGCATCACTACTGTTTTCTTTAATCTGCACTTGGTACTCGAGTGAACCTGAAAAACGACAGACCCGTGAAAAAAAAAATTAATCTTGACGGAACTGAAAAAACAATGATTCTGAACTACGAGAAGCTACATTTTAAGAAGCTAAACGAGCAATAAGTTCTTACAACTTCTAAGGGAAAACATCAGAGCTGAAATTTTCAGATGACCAAGAAAGTAACTAGTAATATGTTATAATCAAAAACTCGTACAGTAACAAACTATTGTTGAGAAAATGTGACATTTGACATTACCTGGTATTGTGATTCCGTCACTTAATGCCATTATTGATCTGAAATTAAAACGAAACTGACTCGGCGAGAAGTGTTAATTGAGCTCAAGAGAGGTTTCACAACTCTTGCTAGTCGCAAGCGTAATTAATCATAATGTGCACAAACCCATTTGGGTCATTTTCAACCGTTGTTAAGATGCACCTCTAATGTTTTTCAATTTAGCCGACAAAACTTAGTAATTGCAAATCTAGAAATCCGAATCGTGCAAAAAATGTATATCCTTTTTCGAAAAAAAAGTTACCTACAATACATCATACTCTCCGGTTTTAAATTACACAGAGGCGAAGCGGAGTTTCGCTTACTTGCGATATAACAAACATAAAAAACATAGTTTTCAAAAAAAGAAAGTTGAAATTTTTTTTCTAATGTCTCAAAAAAATTCCTTCTAGGCAGTCTTGCCAAGCAATGCAGTTTAATAAGTATTAACAACAAAAAAAATTTTTGAAGCGGAAACAAAGCCGACAATATTTGAGCAGACACCGGTTGAAATAAAAACAAATTGATTTTATAAAAAAACTTTGAGTCCCACCTGAAAATGCAATGAGCAACACTTGCAAGAGCAATGAAACTTGCCTACAGCACAAACGACCGTGATAAAAAAAAAGCTATGCCGACAAAATTTGAGCAGACAAACACTACTATTTCAATTTTTACCGGTAAAGTTTCCAATTTCATGCATACTGAAAACAAGGTCCGGCCGGGAGTCGAACCCCAGACTTCAGGCTGCACAGTGACCGCTCCTACATCTAGGCCAAGTGGTAGCGAACCTGGAAGTTGGTTAGAATCAATAACAAAGCAAGTTAAATTTCATGCAGATATGTAAGAGTTGTTTAGGAAAAAGACAAGTTACCGATTCCGATACAATTGCACTCGCAAGTGTAAAACAATTGTGGCAGAACTAACGATCACGAGTGACCACATCAGCTGTATCAAAAAACTTTATGCAAAATTGATCAATTATTTTGTACCTTATAATACTACCTCATGAATAAACACAGACGCGAAGCATGAATATTTTCGATACAAAGAACAATAAACATCCAGTAGATATTTAGTAGTTTATGCACAACTCAAATATTTGTTTTAAAAAATGAACTCTATCATTTACACTTGCACTATTTTTCCAGCCAATTTTTTTTATAACTTAATTATTGTAATCAAAACCTCGGCACTCTTTAAAAAATTACTTAAAAGATTTGCATGAATGAGATCAAGCATTGCGATGTTCATTACGGGACCAAATGGTGCAAACATACGTCGACAACAACCTAGTTTAAAACTTCAGGATACTTTTGTCCTGGTTAAACATACGCTGATTCCCCCACTTTGCACTTATATACAGAAAAACAAGACTGCTCGTTTCAGGACAAACTCCTGAATGTTCCGCTTGCCCTTTCATTGGTCTCGAATAAGTTTTGGTAGATTATATATGGGCAAAACTATGAATTTTAGATATACAATGTCAAAAATTAAGTGTTGCAATTTGAGTCGTGTATTGAGTTAATATAACCAATTAGCTGCTTCAATTCAATTTAGAACCATTTTGTAGTGCTAGATAATAAAACAAGCTGTTTTAAACATACTAATGGCAGGTTACCATAGTGGTGTGCACACTCGGCTGGCAGCATTCAGATCAAAAGATCGATCCCCTGAGGATCCAGAGTTTTGTAAAAGTGGTCTGAAAAAACCACCCCGAAAATCGGAACAGTAAGATAAGAGTGACTTCATAATGAATTAAAACACAGCGCGAATGTCAACTTTCAAAAAGAAAATAATCTAAATAAACTAAAAAAAATTCATATTTTGTCAATTAGAACAAATTATCGAAACGGGCTCTTTTTCCTTTTCTCTTAACTGCAAAACTTTACGGTCCTTTTCCAGTTCCTCGCTCCCTTTGCTTTTTTCTGTAATTGAAAGTTTTTTATAAACTGCCATAAAACGTGTTAGCGTGGGCAAGTGAACAAATTTTAACATTTATTACATGCAAATTGCCATGTGAACTATTTTTGAACAATTTTATTTTGTAACTTTACGAGAGGGGTGGGAAACTTGAAAAGAGCCAAAATTTTAAGCAAACTTGCCGTTCACATTGTCCGATAGTTAACAATCATTGGCAAGCAGAATAATTAGGCCATGATAAACATATTTGGTGTGCATATTTGACCTTGGAAAACCCCTCGTTCCACCATAAAAATAATGCTTATGTGAGGTGGGGGAAAGTAAAAAGAGCCTCGAAATGGTATTCACCACCAAAAGCTGCTGAAGAAAAGCGTGTTGTGGTGTTTTGAGGGTTCATATCACACGTGCGCTGCAATTTACTCGGTGAACTTGTCTAAGCTAACCAAAGCCCAGACGCCTTCAAACTATTACGAGCCAAAGCTATGGTTGAATAAATTTGACAAGAATAATTTTCAGTATATTCCTAAATAAAAGCAGGAGCCAATAATAGCTAATTTTTTGCCATTTCAAGTTAAAACCAATCAAACGCCGCAAATTTCTCCAAAACTTCTGTTCAACTTGCACAGCGAACATATATTACTTTCCTGCTTCTTTCTGTCTCTATTTGACATAAGGCAAAATATTTCGGCTTTATTTCCCCCTCCCCTCCCCCACAGACAACTTTTTACAAGTAAATTTATTGTTCACATAGTCCGACTGTTATGAAAACTGACATGCAGACTAATTAGGCCATAAAAAATATTTGGTCTTCATAATCAACCTTGTAAAACCACTCGTTACACTAAAATATTGATGCTCGTTACACCAAAAATAGTGAGGCGGGGGAAGGAAAAAGCAAAATTATTTGCAATTTTACTTACCGGCGGTTGAAGTAGGAATCCATATAACCAGATGATTAATTTTAAGCCGTACGCTCTGCTGGCTGACGGCAATGTTCTTTGATATTACTTTAATCATGGTTCAGACTGAAGTACATACTTTTTTATTTCTAAGCTGCAGTTTTCTTTTTTATTATTTCTAAGCTGCATTTTTCTTTTTAATTTCTCATTAAGCAACGTGCGTCTATCCTAGTGGAGCTCGAATCAAAAATTACTTGTGAACAAACGTAACCAAAAAATGTTGATCAAAATTTTTAGAAAAACTGGCGCAGCCGGTTGCTGTGCAACTATTTCCAAATGTCCTGATTACAATGATTTCAGTAAAAAAGACTTAAAAATAAAGCGAACAATTTAAAAAACCAAAAACTTCATATTTTGTAATTTTTTCTTGTAAATTTTTAATAATTTAAGTAGAGGGCAATTCAATTAGGTAGAAACTGCAATGATGAACAGCAAAAAGTGACGAAAGAAATCATACCTTTTAGTTAAGACTCAAAAATATTCGAGTTATCTCTTTTTACTCATAACATGCCTATTGGTACTACTAATTTTCACCAATTGATGGTACTACTTGATGTCATCCACTTTCGTCAGGCCAGCCCCAAAAAATTTTCTTAAAGTGCATTCGGTGCTAATGATAACTAAACTTAGGGGAGCCGAAAAAAAACGTAGTTTCTGGGTCAAAACTTTCCAAAAATACCCGAAAACGCATTTTGGGACAGTGTTTTTGAACTATCGCTTACGGCGCAGAAAAGGTTTACAGGTTAGCGTCAGTGACTAATAGAGTTTTCAAAAGAGATCAGAAAATCAATTTGATCAACCTAAATTTCTTTAATGAACATACGCTACCTTACCTCGCCAGAAACAACCTAGATCCAATTAAGTACACCAAAAAAAGTGTCTATTGAAAAGATTTTAGGCAAAAATTGGAGTTGAATGATACGACGTAGACGAAAACCTCTCATGCAGTAAAACTATACTGTAACTGATTGGTCAAAAAATAAGTTGCTCCGCTGAAAGCGAATTCAGAGAGGGCTGTCTTAACTCTCAGGTGCTATTCGACATATTATACTATGATAATAGCAAAACGGTTCCTCGCCACACAAACTGTCAACTGAGGGACAAACTAAGACCAACAACTCAGTACAATACTTGCAAACACTAGTATAGAAAACGAAAATGTACTCTTTTCTAGTTTACACGGTGTACTTGAGTCTTTCTTGCTTTGAACTTTTGATTTGATTATAAATTAGTTGGTTGCACGTGTTTGGTAATTCAGTTTTGCATTTTTCCCAATTTTGTATTTGCTGAGTTCTGGTTTTCAATTTCTTTCCCGGAGTTTTCCTGATTACATGTGAAAAGTTGAAGTCATCTAAGATGGTTGTCAATTGTCAAAATTGGCATATAACAACTACTCAAGGAAGCGGTATTAGACACTTCAGACCTGGATCGGCTAACAGAACAGAAGATAGAAAAATGTGCAACTGAATAAACGAATGCAATACATAGACAAATAGTGGCAACAAAAAACACAATCTACCGAAGCCCTGGCAAACAGAAACGACATCGTCTTCCAGAAAAAAATCTGATACATGTAGATATTGCCAAAAAAAACGTACAAACGCCGGTGGACTTCATCTGCGTGAACTGGCTGCGCACATTGAAAACAGACCCAACAATAAAAAATTACACCAACGCGTGCACAGGAGAGCAGAAAATTGGAACAACCTAGAGCAAGCCATAGAAAAAACTGCTCTGACTTGACATATTCCACAAAAAAAACCAGCAAGGGTATCTTCAAAGCACACATCTCCTTTGCCCGAAATGCGAGAAACCGTTGGCAGCAACCAACATGTCGCGCCATAGCCGAACCTGCAAAGGAGCACCCGAGAGGAGAGCATTCCCCTAGTTGAGGAATGAATGTGACATTTAGTACAAATGTCAGGAATTTGAACTTTGAATAAATGCTGAAGGCGTATAGTTGAACTGTGATGAATTAGATAAATTGTCATACGATTAATTTTTATTCTATTTGTTCGCTTATTTTGAGATTACTGTATAACGACACAAAATCATACCACCAACATCAAGATCAGTTGGTTGGTTTTGCAATAAAACTACAGTACTAGTAATTATGTTTTTTTCATCTTAACACCAAGGGGAC